ATGTGGCTACCTGCAAGCAGACTCCCATGCTTTTGAGAAGTCAATGTTTCCCTTCCGTCGCACATCGTTGGGCCATGCCGCGAGAGAGATCGATGCAGCGCTTTGCCGCCGGACCATGGCAGAAATGTGGGTTCAATGCACCGGCCTCGAAACACTTGAGGCAGGGTCCAGCTAAGTTATTTTTTTGTTTTAATCACTTGAAAGGATTTGTTGTTTTTTGTTTGCCAGACTACTCTGCACTTGTTTGGCTTTCCCCGGGGTTGGGCCAAGTAGTTTGCGTTGTGCATCACTTTTTAGATACGCCAACTCAGAGTTGCCTTCGGTTGGTGCCGTTTCTAGGTTGCAAGTGTAGGAAACTTCGTAGGTCCCAGGAACAAACGGACAGGTCTCCTAGTGCAATTGTTGTTTTCTGGGTTGATTTGCTGGGGCCTCAACAGGGAAACACGGGACCCGCCCTTAAACGGCGAGCTGGTGGAGGTTGCGGCTTTTTGCATCCCAAAGATCCAAGCTGGTGCCCCTTTGGTTGGTCCACATCCCCTTTTTGGAAGCAAGGCGTGGGTTTGGCCACGGTCCAGAATGTTGCAGAGCCATCGCAAGAGCCATGGACTCTGGTCCTGCGTAGCCCCCCCCACTCGAGAGTAACTGTTAGGCTGCAATGCGTCCCTTGCTTGGCCCTTCAACATATGAATCATGGCAGCCATTCTCAAGTCACCAAGGTGGTCGGACGGGATGCAATCCCAGTTTCTGATTTTGATACCCTGTCAACACATCGAACCGTTCTAGCAAAAGTGGGTAGTTCCTCCTCCTCGTTTTCCACACAGGCTTGTCTCAAAACAGTGGAACACCAGCAGCAAACCGTTGGGCTCCTGGAGGAATCGCTTCCTAATTTTGTTTGACAACACCCACACTTGGGAACCCTTTTTGGTGGGTTTTCACATCTGGGAACCCTTTTTTGGGGGTTTTCAACAAACAACCAACAGGAAACCGTTGCCACCCGGGAAGAATCGGCCCACATCTCAGGCGTTTGAAACAAACAGCTCGACCGAGGCGACGCGGAGCAGCGAGCAGAGTTGGTGGAGCGCCTGATCTTGGCGACTCGGCCTAGCGGGGGGCGGGCGGGGGGGGGCGGCGAGGGAGCGGGGGTGGGGGGGCGGGAATTGTTTGAGTCCACCTTAAAGTGGTTTCATTTTGAGGGCTTCTGAACAGCAATTTTGGGACCCGGTGGTTTCCCTTTAACTCACTTCCTGAGTTCATGGACTTACTCTTTCGGGTTGAACCATTCTATCAACATACAAAAAGTTTGAAGACTTGTTTTGGGCCATTTAACTGAGGGGGTGAGTTAAACCATTTTTTGGAGTTTGAGTTGATTGAGAATGTCACTTCATGGACCCGGGATTGAGAACCTCGCGCAACCTGTGAGCAACAACCAGCTTGCATGGAACTCCAATTAAGGCCCACTAATTGTATTTTGTGGTTTGGTTTACTCAGTATACTTTGAATGCGTGATTTGGTGGTTTTCCGTTTGGTTTCTCTTTAACACCACAAAAGCCCTCAAAACGAGACTCAGCGATTCAACCTTTCCCAATGGAGCTCAATTTCGGCCACGGCTAATGTTTCGGCAAGTGAGCTCACGGCTTCGGGCATTCTTAGCTCGGGCCTGCAGGTTCCTTACCTGGACTGGGTTCCGGGGTTCATATTTTTGGTGGACCGTCAGGAACTTCCCCTGTCAAACCATCCCCAAAAGACTGCGTCTCGAGATTTGCATTTGACTTGGGACCGAACTTGGCAGGTCAAGAAGGGATCACTTGAACCAAACGAGGAGGGTCTGTACGGCTCTTGCTTGCAGGCCTAGATCTGCTGCCGACCTTCCAGATTTTTCCAGTGGGTTTTGGTCCCGAAAGGATCAGATTTGCCCGAAGCAATATTTGGGGCTCGCAAAAAAATATGTGTTTATAGGGTAGGCAAAATGTGGAACAGAGCTGGGATATATAAAATGTTGTTTGGCCAAGAAGGCCTGAATTGACCTGTTGGATTTCCCATAGTGAAGTTCCATGGATTGTTGCACCTCACCAACTGTTGGCTTGTCAAGCTCAGTTGGGAGTAACCTATGTTGACCTCTAGGTTTTACTATGGGAGTGGAAGCAAATGGGGGCGAGTGAGGTGAAGTTCGCCGACCAGTGGCTGGAGACCAGCCTGCCGGCGCGGGGATGAGGGGTCTGGGAAGCTTCCAGTTCCTTCCAGGCATGAAGTGAACGGCGAGGAAGGCGGCGGTTTGCTGGTCACACCTGCATTTGTGTTGTTTTTGTTTTTGGAGGGGGGGGGGGGAGCAATCCTTTTGGTATCAACCTGGCTTCGGGTACGGGCAGGTTCCACGGCTTGTTGGGGATGCCCCCAGCTGATTTTGACTGTGGCGTTTCGGCACAAGCAAATGAGCAGACGACCACTTAGATCCGCTAGTACCGCCAGTATATTTAATAGTTTATTAATGGATGATACTAACAGCAGTGATTGAGGCTGCATTAGGGCCAAGCATTGCTCATGCCCCCTGAAACCTCCCATACCCCATATGCTCCCTGACACTTTAAGGGGATAGTAAGTCCCGGTCATCGCACTTGTGACCCTTGCTAGGAGCAAGGCAAGTGAAAGAACCCGGTTCTTCTTTTTTTGTAGGTTCTTTACTGGTAAGTGAGCTGGGGAAGGTTCACTCACGCGTTTCATGCCCCTCGACTCGACTGGCTGCTTGCTTCAGGATCTAAGCTCCCTCAGCTATGGTCGAAAGGAGAGTCGTGCCCACATTGTTCTGAGAACAATTTCGTCTAGATGTTTTTTGCACCCATAATTACCGTATTGCCGTGATTTGGGATTCTTCACTCCCTGATGAGCTTTATACCTTTTGGGCTTGGACCATTTTGGTGGCAAACAAACTTGGCAAAACTTTCTTCGGACCCGCTCGCGAATTAGCTCTTGCAGAATCCAGACACTTGAAAGCCTGGCTTGACAAAACATCGGCTTGGGCTTGCACTAAGTTTGAGATATTGGTGTGCGTGAGACCAGCAGACAAGCCAAGGGAAAGCCATGCTCCAAATCCAGACGTTCAAGCTTAGGGAGCCTGGGTGGGCTCGAAAACCGTGAGACTGTCGTTTTCGTGTGCTTTGGAGGAGACATCTACTGTTGCGGTCTCCTCCCAACGGATAGTGTCATGTACATGCAGGGGACTGGTAGCCCGCTCCAAAGTGACGCAGGAGTCTCCTTCCCAAAATATCTCACCAACATGAGACCTGACTGAGGGGTCCTGGAAGACTATTGTCCTTGCAAAGGGACCCTCTAGTAGGTTCCATGTTCAGGAGGGTAACATTTTAGGGCAAACATGTGATTCAGAATCGAAACACCTCGTTGTTGGTGCAATGTGGACCCCATATTCATCAACCCCAGTTTTATTAGTAGGGCGGTATTCCCCTCCAAAAGTTATTATTCCCCACTAAACCCAGCGGGAACACACCCTTCATGAATATGGGGTCAACCCCGGAGTCCAACCAAAAGGTTCGCGTCTTCGCCAGGTGAAGCGGTTGACTGGCATCAAGGCAGCAGCGAGGCACTCGCGACCACCGCGCGATTTATGGTGTCGCTCTTGTCAAGCAGAAAACCCATGAAAAGGCCCCAAATTTTGACCCCGCAACTTGGTTTGGCATGGGTGGGATGTGGATGTCCTAAACCTTGTGGCTGGTGCTTCAAGGAAACGTAAAGGAAAGCGTTCCGTTTTTGGAGATCCTGGTTCAAACACGCCTATGTCAATTGCCTTGGCTTGGGTTTTTTCCAGGTGCTGGTTTTATGAGGCAGTGTGCGTGAACATGGCTGGCGCTGCTTTGTCAAAACAAGTTGTGCCCCGTCCAACACGTTTCGACTTCTGGCCTGTTTCAATCACGCCCATATCAGTCACTAATAACCTTGGCCCCAAGGGGACCAAAAGGATCACCATTTGGGGGCTCCCTATTTTGGCACAGACATATATATATATATGTGTATATATGGCAACACTACATATATATATATATGGGTATGTGTGAAGATAGGCGTGCCCGTTTTGGGGTGGTTGCTACTTGGTTTCCCAGTGGCTTCCGTTTCAATTTCACCCGACAACGCTTAGAATGGCTGACACCCCATATCATGTTGGCCCCCCTTCCAAGGGACAAAAGGTCGGTTCACTGAGTCGCTGGTGCCAAGAAGGGAACTGGGCAAACGACTACGACCCCAAAGCCAGCAGCCGGCGGAATCCCTAAAGGACATTGATGGGTAATCGGGTTCGCAATTTACGTTTTATAATTTTGACATCTCGTGTTGTAAGTTTGCCAGATTTCATGTTGGCCTCGGAGCGGGAGGGCGGGGGAAGGGCACAAAGGGCCCATGGCTCAGAAATGGGCTTGTCGGCAAACACAAGTGGAGGTTTTGAACCCACATCGTTTGAGCTTAAAAAAACCAGAAGGCATCCCAGAGACCCTTGATTGAAGAAAGCAAATCCATCTCCAAACAAGTCCCAAAATTGCCCCGAAGCCGCCCGTGCCGCACTCTTGCGAGGCTCAGAGGAAGCCATCCTTTCATGGGATATAGAAGGACACCTTCGGGCGTCCTTGCATGTCCACTTCAAATGTCACCCGCAAAGGAACCATCATGCGCAACGGCCCAAAAGACCAGATGTTGCCCTTTTTGAGGGAGCCAAGCACAGATCTAATGATTCTAATGTGTCCGTGCCATTTTGTCGCAGACCTTGCTACTCTCTCCATATGCTAAATCAATTTGCCGAATGCAGAAGCTTTGCTCCCCATCACGAGCTGAGCACGCCACATGCCGAGATCATCCGACAAGATGAAGCAGACAAAACCACAAACTCACTTGTCCAAAGCCGACCTCTGACCTGTATTCCGTGATTTGGTTTTGGCGCCAAAAGGTGACCTGTGATTTTTTGCAAAGAGTGAGCCTTGGCAACTCGTTATTTGGTTGAGGCCGCAGAAACTCAGCGGGGTCCAATTCCCAAGTGGGGAATACTGCAACAACCGCCGGTTGCCTGATGGCGGATGACTCGGAGGAGGCCGGTGGATGGTCAAAGCTGAATCCTAATGTTAACCCCGGATTGATCAACCCCTGGTTGATTTTGATCGGGGGGTGTCCCAATTCTTTTCGTGGTTGGATTCAGACCACTTTTGGAGGGAACACCCTAATGGGACGGGTCCTACTTAGATCCTGGGTCAACACAGATTCACATGGGTTCCATGGAAAGAGCCTCCTCCCAGTGCCAACCATCCGCGGGGCTACAGGTAGAAAAAACACCTTTGTAGAAATCATACAAGCGACCACAAAAATTCGAAAGCGGGTGCTACAGTACTCACTTCCTGAGTGAACTGATGAGTGGATGGGTCAAGAAGAGTCCAAGAAAAAGTCTTATTTGTAGGAGAGTAACTGCACTTGGCAAGGTGAGTCATGGTCCAAAGCTGAAAATTGTGGAGTCTCAACCAGAAATCGGGTGCGCATGCTCGGCCTTTTGATTCATGCTTTTGGGGCCAACATTGTACCAGGTGTTTATTGCTACTCAGGATGGTTTGCTCCCCCGCAAGATGGACATTCTACTTTGGGGCTCCCCCAACAGGAGCATCGCATGGTGTTGGATATATGTCAACCAGGGGGAAACAGGGTCATGTTTTGTGATACCAAGGGAATCCCTCTGGAAAATGACAAAGAAAACATGTGGACTGCGTGTCGGCATATCAGAAAGTTTATGTTTGCTGTCATTGATGGTCATCAGCTCTTTCGGATCAGCGGGTCACGCTCCGCACAAAGATTTGAGTTTGTCTTAGAATAGGAGACCCAAAAAGTTGCAGGTTTCCTTGTGGTTGCCCTTTAAAATGTACCAAACAGGGGTACCCACAAAATGCGACTGACCCATTTTGACACGTTTGCTGCACCTGGCGCGGGGGTGTACTTGTGTCCTTATCACTGCGTCTTTTGAGGTCATTTCAACGCACTCGCCACGCCTAATGGCCAGTTTCTTTGGCGATGGCCCATTGGTGCCTGACGAAAGGAGTACGATGATGAGTTCGCCGACGACGTTGATGAAGAAGTGGAGGAGGAGCAGTCGCTGGGAATTGTGCGTTGGTGTGGGAGCCTGAGTCCTCTGAAGAAATGCATTCAACCGCTCCCTTCCTTTACCAGTCACTCACTTTCCCTTTTTTGGACCTCCAAAGTGGCGACCGTTTCACTGCAACCCGTTGTTTTCTTCCGGCGTGTTTGGGGGAAAAGGGTGACGAAAAGGGTGGAGTTAGTGTCCATTCGCTTAAGACTAGATTTATTGTCCACTTGTTTTCCCTGTTGGTTTTATAGACACCTATCACCACTGGGAGTAGTATTTTGTTTCCAGGGGACTTCAGCAATGGAAATTATCCATTCGTGGTCGAGGCACGTTTCGAGGGCTGCTTGATGTTTCGATGCACGAGGTGTTTTCCTGTAAGTTTACTTGGATGCTTTCTCCGCTTTCTGCGCAACCCAAGAGACGCTTTGGGTTGGAAGTCTAGTCAACGTGACGTGCAGTCAGTGGGAAGCCTTGGGAAGCCCATTTTTCCACAGCGTCACAGAAGAGTTTGGGCAATTCTCAGAAACCTGTTGAGGAACTCAAGGCGCCAGAAAGGTTTTCTCGGAGCCCAAGGACTCAGTTCAAAACGCCGGATCTGACCTTTCGGTGTTCCCTTTTTGGGTTCCTAGAAAAGGCCCTTTTTGTTTTGGGTTCCCTTTTTCGGTTCCCTTTGTATTTTTTGGATAGTTAAAGGGGCCCCAAAAGGTGATCACCTTTTTTTCAGATCCCTAGACGGCAAGTCTTCAAGTGAGAGAAGGTTCCGTCCAAACTGGGTCGGCTTTGCCGCTTTCCTGTAGGAAGACGAGGAGGAGGCAAAGGTTCAGCATGACGGCTTCGCGGCCTGGCTGAAATCACCACGCTCAACCTCCTTGTCTCTTTCTTTCCAGTTTCTGGACCTGTTTCTTTCCTTCCTTTTTTTTTGGTGTGTGTGTGTGGTGGGGGGTAGGTCATTCTGGCGTTACATAAAAAGTCTGGATTTTTGATCAATCGAGTTGATGGCTGGCTGATTCTTAGCACAATCCGGATCAACATGTCAAGCTATCTATGGTTGTCGTTGGGAAACATTTTGCATGTTTGCTTACTGTGGTTTAGTGGTTGAAATCCAACCACTTGACTGCTAAAATATAAGTCTTTGCTCCCCAAACCCAACGTCAACCAAGCTCAGTCTAGAACCCCTCGAGATCCAAACTCGCCCAAACTCGCCCCAAACGCGAAGTCCTGAAGCCGCTGGCCTCCGGGCCTCCGGGCCTCCGCGCGCATGGAAAACCCATACCCCGATCCTCGAGTCGCCAGTCGCCTCTTTAACCAGCTCGGAGAAACCGCAATGCACAAAAAAGCGGTTGCCAGCAGGGTCCGGGGTGTTCCTTTCCCAAGCATTCCCAGTTTTGGGGTGGTTTTTTTCTGGCCCAAAAAGAACATATACATGAATGATGTTGCTTTTCTTTGGGGGGTTGCGCTGCACGCATGAGGGGGGTTGGTACCGTTTTGCATGTTGGGCTTGGCTACAAAAACCAAACAAACACCGAAGCTCGCTGGGGCTGGGGGGGGAAGTGAGCTTGGAGAGTTCCATAGGCAAGCAAGTTCAGACGGTTTTTCTCGGACAATCCCTTCGGATTCATGATGTGTTCATCGTGTTCTAGAAAACGATGAAACATCGATGAAACATGATGAATCCGCAAGAGATGATTGTAAAATGATGAAAGCATGAAGGACACATGAACGAGGCTGGGCAACTGGGCACCGGTTCATGTACGACCAGTGGGACCAAAGGCAGTCATGTAAACGATTACGAGTGCCATCATGACGGTTCTCCTTGCATGCTTGCTCCCTACACGCGGAACATGGAACATGGTGTCCATGTTCCAGTCTCGCTCAAACTTGAAAAATCAACATAGATTCACGCCATGCTTGTTACTGCATAAAGATACACCTGCCTTTTGGCTGATGTCGTTTTAAAACGGAGCCAACCAGGTTCCCCGCCTGATTTCGGGCCCTTCTGTGGCCTTTACTGGTCCATTCTTGGGGATTCCAACAGACGCAGCCTGGTTTCGAAGGGACAGACCCTTGGAAAATCGGCTCGAGGTGTCCGCCATCTTCACCACAGCCTCAGGCTCGCAAGTGCCTGTGCCCACGGCAACTTGGCGGCAAGCCCTCCGAATGGCTTCACATGGGCTTGGGTCAAAATTAAACCACCAGGAATTGGACCGCAGGGTTTAGTCCTTGGTTCCTTTTACCAGGGTTCCATTTTGGGAACCTATTTTTGACCCACTGCCACATGTGTTTCCGTTGGATCCCTTGACTTGGCCTTCTTTTTGCTTTTGGCAACCCTTCACCTCAGTATGTCGTCCCAAATCCGACCGGTTTTCAGGAGGCAGAATTATTGGACTTCGCCATTTATCAGAAAACTGCACCTACCAGCCCCAAACACCCCCCATCCCTCCGCCCCGCCAAGAAAGAGCCTCAAATACCCTTCCCCGCCAAAGGCAAAAGCAACCTCCAGTTCTGCTCTCATGTCTGTCTTTCCCCGGTGGTTGCTCCGAGCCTGATGACCACAAGGTAGATTATTGTCAAATTGTTTCCTCCGTTTTTCTTTTTGGAGCCTGTGGCGATCGTTTCAATGGAACCCACCAGTCAATCTATCAAGTTTTGACATGGATAAATCCGGGGACCCTTGCTTTGTTGGTGTCTTGTGGCGCCCATTTCTGCCGTGTTGGCCTTTTGGGTTTTGGGGGACCACCCCTGTTTTTTGCATTTCTTGCGACATGGTGGCCTGTGACTATGTTCTCAGCTAGGGGAAAGACCATTCAAGGGGCAAATCAAAAGGTAGGGTGCTCTTGTTTGCCAGTCCACTCGCGAAGTGAGCGCTACAGTGCCATCAATATAAGCACTTTGGTGTTTCCCATAAGGAGAACGAAACTGGGCACGCACGAACGCTTTCCAGTAACTAGCGGGTTGCCGATGATATGAACATTGGCCATGGTTCATGTGGGGTTGTCGGCAAATGAGATATGGGCCCCTGCCACAATGCGGCTGAGGCTTTCATTCAAAACAGGTCCAAAACGGCACTACAGAGACAACCTTGTTTGGTTGTTGGGTTATGTTCAGTTTCGGGTGGGAGGTTCCAAACAACTGTTTTTTTTGAGCCAAGCCAGCCTAGACCCCCCCCCCCCCCGCAAAAAGTCAGCCTACTGGTTGAAAGGGGAAATCACAACGCCGTCAAAGCAAGGCATTGAAACGGAAAGCCAAGCCTGGCAATGTGTATCAATGTCTATCCAATCACTCTTGCCCACACAACCCGATAAACAATGTAGAACTTTTCGTAGTCGAGCAGCAGTCGAGCAGCAGCCTCCCTTTGCATTGCCAGTGATCAGCGGACAAGGGCCAACTCCAATTAGGCTCCAGCGCACATTTGCATTGGTGGGTCGATCAAGATACATTTTTTGGTTTCGCCAGCTCTACGGGTCTTCTTGCACTACGTGTGAACGGCAACGGGTCTCTGTGCAAGTATGTTGGGCTGTATAGGCTATAGGCGTTTGTTCTTGGCTTAAGTTTGCAAACCATTTTGCTCGATTGTGTTTGAACATGTTTGTGGCAACAGACACAAGCAATGGGGCCCCCCCATGTCAATGTGTTTCACTCCGTGGGGGGAAATAGGTGTTTTTGCCCCATCCCATGCCAGGAAGGTTCTCCGAACCTTTGGGTTGGAGCCTCGGGGCCTCAGGTGCTGGCGCAGGATGGGGCGTCCATCTGGGCCGGAGATGCCTACGAGTGGGAGATGAAGGCCTGGTAGGGACCCTGAGAGGCGGAGAAGGCGAATCATGGGATCTCCAAATTTCCTTCCCCTCCCCAACGTGTTGGGTGTGTCTACCCGCCAACGGTTGTGGGTGTGTTTCTCTTGTTTTTTCAAGGTGAAGACCAGGGTTGGTTTCCCGGGTTTTTGGGGGTGTTTTTGGGGTGGAGTCTGTTTGGGCGACCATGGGAGACCACCCAAAGTGGTTTACCTCATAAGACACTCCCGTACCAGGCCGCTTGCCCGGCGAAGCTGGCGGAGGTGCCGGCGCACCTGCAGGGCGGCACCCTGCTGCAGTGCCCCTCAGGCGAGTGCCCGCTGAGTGCTGGGTGGGGGGGGGTGGCGGGGGGGGAGGGAAGGCTATGCAGGGCCATCCATACAGGGCCCACACAAGGCTCATGAGTGTTTCCTTTTTGGAGGGTACCCTTTTTGCTGCGTTTCAAGGGAAGCCACAAGGAAAGCATAGTTCCTCTCTTTGAATTTCTAAGTACATTACCTTTTGGTCCTGAATGGGAAACGTAGGGAACTGCGCTGAACTCGACATGCTCCACCCCCCCCAAAAAGACTTTCCCTTTTTCCCTCATGGGGAAGGTGCACAGACCTTCAGATTTCCCATGCAGAGTAAGTGCGAAAGGGCATTTAACTCGAATACCTCAAAATTATGAAAGACCACTATAGTAAACTGTGCTTCATTAAAATTACAGGTTTCTTGGGTTCTCCTTGGCAACAAACTTGGTCATTCAGAGAGTTCCGCTCTTTTGCCCCTGTTTGTTTAATGGGATCTCCTCTACAAATTGTCTTGCTTCCGTGTTTTTCACTTGAGGAGTTTCTTAGCTCTCTCCCTGAGTTCGACTTTAAGCTGTTTGGGCTTGGACCAGTGGTCAACAAGAAGTCGGGACTTTTTTTCGGCCAATTCACTTATGAGCTGTGAAAAAAGCGTTGCCAAAATCTCTTTGGCTTTCACTGCTTGGGTGTCCCCTAATCTTTCCCTTTCATCCAGCAAGGGAAATCTGGCCAAGCCTGGCCGGCAAATGAGGGCACCCCAAAATGTGGGATGTCCGGTTTGTGTCTCTTGTATTGGGCAACAAAAAAAGATAACCAGCAAGCCGTCCTCACAGATGGGTATGTCTCAAAACGCCGAGGTTGTGGGTGTTTTAAAGGACAGAAGGAAGCCGACCATTTTCTCAACCTTTTGCACCTTTTGGTTTTCCCTTTGTGGTTGATTTCTAGTCATGGCCCAAACGGTGATCACCTTCTATTTGCTGGGTCCCTAAGGGGCAACCGAGTTTTGAGGAGCACCTGGTTCAAACATCCGACACTATTTCGGGGAAGGTCATTTCAGTGGCAAACAAAGCCGGTGTGGTTAAGCACTTCTTTTGGCCAATCCAGGGACGTACTCCCTCAGTGCCTACACTTCAGCTTGGTTTGGAAGACCATACTAGTGCATTAAGCACAAAGGACTTCCTTTGGCCCATTTGTCCCATCCACACGAAGGGAAGGACGCGAGGAAAGGTCATGAGTGGGTTCCAGCCTCAGGCGCTGTAGGTAGTCCCCACTCGCAGCTGGTGGTGTCCTGTGCGCGGACTGCGCGGCTCTATGTGGTGGTGGAGGTGCCTGCGGGCAAGAGCACTCCCTGCGCCGCAAGAGGCAAGGCATTGTGGGGGGAGTTGTCAAATGGTTGGTTTCAACTGGGCTGAATATGTTGACTTTTGTTGGGTGTTCAAAGTCGGCAATCACTTGGGTGGTTTTGATAGTGGTAGAATAATGGAGAGACTTGAACAAACATAGCACCTTTCGGTACGGGAGTCATTCTAGATTCTCGGCGCGCTTTAAAGTGTCCCCTGATTTCTTCGCGCAGCGTTATGATAGATCATAACGTTTCTGTCTAGAAGCGGCGTAGTCCGTAAACCCCATCCACCACCATTGTGCCAGGCAAATCAAAGGTTCGCGCGACCAGAAGCACCAGCTGTTGGCCTCTCGGTCCATCCATGTTTCTGCATTGCACACTGCTCCGCCAGGTGGGCAGGCAATCCAACACGAAAGGGAAGCAGAGTTGTTCCGGGATTCAGCAAGAGCAAAACACAATCTGCCGCTATTATTTGTTGCAGAGTCATGCCCCTGTTGGGGGCGGGCTCTTAAGCACCTTTTCGGGCCCGTTTGGGTGTGTCTCAAATAGGACTCGGCCCCTGAAATCGATGATTTCCTTTAGGTTTCCCTTTGCCCCCGAGACTACAACACCCTTTTATGACGAATCCCCCTAGGACGTCCATGTCGCCAGGCACCCTGGCAAGTTGCTTGGCCAGTGGCCAACGCTGGCTCGCAGAGGGCGAGGCGGCGCCCACTTGGATCGAGGAGACGGAAGGCGGCGGAGCGCGCTCTATTTAGCCGTGATGACAGAATCAGTTGTGCAGTGATGTAGCCTTTGCTGTTAGGTCTGGGCCGTGCTTTAGGAAGGTAAACCCCATTGTCAGGTTGGTTCACAGGGAAACCTAGAGGAAAGCCACCATTTTTTGATGCCTCCTTGTTTTGACACACCGCTGACTACAGCAAGCTGGAGGTCACCTACTATGGATGGAGAACTGCCTGCACCTCCTAAGGAACCCTCCAGAGATGATTCCCCTGTAAATACCAACAAACAAGGGCTTCCCATGGTTTCAATCTGATGCAGGACTTCGTCCACCCCAAGTATCATGAAGGGCTCTTGGCTGGGGGTTCCTTCTTTCCAGTTTGCTCACTCCCTGAGTACCTGGACATTGAAATTTCTAGGAAGACCATTTAGTTGTCAACAAAAAGTTTAGACTGTTTCTATCCAATCCACTTGCGAAGTGGCTAATGGGAGCTGCGGAATAGCACGAGAGAGAGAGAGAGAGAGAGAGATGGGTTTGTCCAGATAGGTGTACCGGACCATGGGCACCTACCCATCGGTACGTTTTTTTTGTTGAGATTTTGCGAGGATACTCTCCCTCCCGTCCATTGGAAATTCATGTTTGAGATCGCGGCTTTCCAGAGGCACAATCGAGGAAGTGCATGGCCGTTCTTTTTGCTTGGGCCTAACAAGGATGGTCCAGCTGGTCGCAAGGCCATAGCGATGCCAGAGGGAATCATGACCGTAGAGCAAAGGAACTTTGACCATGGCACGCATGGCCTTTCACCCATTGAAGCCAAAGAAAGACGTTAAAAGCCTGCGGCAGTTCCATGTGCTTTGAGACAGTCCAGAGTCACAGAGATCAGGGAGCAACTGCCTGGGACATGGGGAAGTCAGCCTTTGGGGTCCATATCAGATGTTGAGCAAACCATATTATCCAGAGATAAGGGGCTCGTGCCCTGCAGAGGGCTCCCCTGAAAAGGAGCATGGTCTTTCAGGAACGGTTATTTGGGAGGGTTTCGAATTGCAGGGAAGCCAACCTGTGAAATCCATTATCCTTTGAACAAGCCATATTTACCGGAGAAAGGGCCCCATCTCATTTTCAGAGCCACCAGAAAACCCACCTCAGAATACAATTCCCCCAAGAAAGCCCACCCACCTCACCCCACCACCCCCCACCCCCCCCACCCCACCACCCCACCACCCCACGACCCCACCACCCCACCACCCCACCCCACCACCCCGCCACCCCACAACCCCACCTCCCCACGCCCCCCCCCCACCCCCACCACCTCACCCCACCCCGCCAGGCCGCCCCAAGCGCCCGGAGCTGCTGATGTTCAGCACCTTTGCGCCGCCCAGGGCGCAGCTGCACCTGCCCCAGGCCTTTGCAGGCGAGACCGGCGGACCTTTCGGCGGAGCGAAACGGGCGGCGGGCTTGTGTGCGGCCACCAACAGTTGGGGCTTGGGTTCTCAAACCCACCGGTTTGGGGGATTCCACCATTTCAAGAAATACTCAATTTGTTTTTACTATTCTGGGGGACTCCACAATTTTTAAGAAATGCTCGTGGTGCTTTTGTGTCGTTCTTGCATTTGGGGGGTGCTTTGGTTGTTTGAGAGTACCCTTTTAGGGGTTGCTTTGAAGGGAACAAGGACACCAAACTGGTTGGGGATTCCACCATAAGATATTCCTGGCAGAACCCGTGGTCACCACGACTGGCCAAGGGCAACCACGACAACTTCAGCTGTAACGACGACAAGATTAGAGGTAGTCACGACTAGCTTCCCAGAATACAAATCACTCCTGGAAGCTCCGGGAAGCTGCAGGAAGATTCCGGGACGCTTTCCTGGAAGCTCCCGGGAAGCTCCTAGAAGCTGCCGGGAGCACGAAAGTGATAATTCGATTCCAATTATCACTTGTAGTATTCCGGATCCTGCTGGAAGCCTCCGAAGCTTCCGGGAAGCTTCCAGAAGCTGCAAGGAGCACGAAAGTGATAATTCGATTCCAATTATCACTTTTAGTATTCCGGATCCTGCTGGAAGCCTCCGAAGCTTCCGGGAAGCTTCCAGAAGCTGCCAGGAGACTGAAAGTGATAATTCGATTCCAATTATCACTTTTAGTATTCCGGATCCTGCTGGAAGCCTCCGAAGCTTCCGGGAAGCTTCCAGAAGCTGCCAGGAGCACGAAAGTGATAATTCGATTCCAATTATCACTTTTAGTATTCCGGATCCTGCTGGAAGCCTCCGAAGCTTCCGGGAAGCTTCCAGAAGCTGCCACGAGACTGAAAGTGATAATTCGATTCCAATTATCACTTTTAGTATTCCGGATCCTGCTGGAAGCCTCCGAAGCTTCCGGGAAGCTTCCAGAAGCTGCCAGGAGCACGAAAGTGATAATTCGATTCCAATTATCACTTTTAGTATTCCGGATCCTGCTGGAAGCCTCCGAAGCTTCCGGGAAGCTTCCAGAAGCTGCCAGGAGCACGAAAGTGATAATTCGATTCCAATTATCACTTTTAGTATTCCGGATCCTGCTGGAAGCCTCCGAAGCTTCCGGGAAGCTCCCGGGAAGCTCCTGGAAGCTGCCAGGAGCACGAAAGTTATAATTCGATTCCAATTATCACTTTTAGTATTCCGGATCCTCGGGAAGCTTCCGGGAAGCTCGGAAGCTGCCGGGAGCACGAAAGTGATAATTCGATTCCAATTATCGTCTTAGAATTCCAGATCCTCTCGGAAGCCTCCAGGAAGCTTCCGGGAAGCTCCCGGGAAGCTCCTGGAAGCTGCCAGGAGCACGAAAGTGATAATTCATTTTTAGTATTCCGGATCCTCCTGGGAAGCTCCGGAAGCTGCCAGGAGCACGACAGTGATAATTCGATTCCAATTATCACTTGTATCCTCCTGGAAGCCTCCGGGAAGCCCCACGCGAACGAACCCACCCAGTGCCTGGCTGCTGTTGGGACACGTGGGGAACTAAAATCCAGGATTCCCTTTGATTTGTTTCTCTACTAAGGTTACTCGGCTGGTCATGATTTCATGTGGTTGGAGTTTTTTTCCCGAAAGCATCGCGAAGGGTTCTTCCGTGCGGAGCCCTTGGACAAGTTACATAGAGCCAAGGTACATAGAGCCAAGGTACATAGAGCCAAGTTACATGGAGCCAAGTTACATAGAGCCAAGTTACATAGAGCCAAGTTACATAGAGCCAAGTTACATAGAGCCAAGTTACATAGAGCCAAGTTACATAGAGCCAAGTTACATAGAGCCAAGTTACATAGAGCCAAGTTACATAGAGCCAAGTTACATAGAGCCAAGTTACATAGAGCCAAGTTACATAGAGCCAAGTTACATAGAGCCAAGTTACATAGAGCCAAGTTACATAGAGCCAAGTTACATAGAGCCAAGTTACATAGAGCCAAGTTACATAGAGCCAAGTTACATAGAGCCAAGTTACATAGAGCCAAGTTACATAGAGCCAAGTTACATAGAGCCAAGTTACATAGAGCCAAGTTACATAGAGCCAAGGTTAGGTAGAGCTTAGAGCTTCGGCGTTGCAGCTATGTAAGTTAGTTTAGGTTTCTAAGGCGCCGGGGCGGGAGTTTGATCGTCGCTCGGGATTGCGACCCTCTGCGGACATGTCGAGGTTCAAAAACTGAGGACTTTTTACGATTTCTAGCATGCGCGCGCGACCCTCTGCGGAGATTCGCGTGGTCGAGGTTCAAAAACTGAGGACTTTTTACGATTTCTGCTGGCCGCGCGCGACCCTCTGCGGAGATTCGCGTGGTCGAGGTTCAAAAACTGAGGACTTTTTACGATTTCTGCGGTGCGCGCGCGACCCTCTGCGGAGATCGTGCGCGTCGAAGCGCTCTCGCTGTGGCGCCGTGCGAATTTGTTTTAGTCTCGGCGAACCCTCTGCGGAGATTGTGCGTGTCGAAGCGCTCTCGCTGTGGCGCCGTGCAATATTCTTGCTCGCGAAACGGCCTTTGGAAGTTGTCTCGTGGTTTGCGCGCCTGCTTTCGCAATCCCGCGGTCGCGGGTTCGATTCCCCCCTGGTCCGCGGCAGCTCCGGCTTGAAAATCGCAGCTTTTAAGTACAAACGTAGTACGCGGAGCGTGCTCCTGCAGCTCCGGCTGGAAAATCGTAACTTTTAAGTACAGACGTAGTATGCGGAGCGTGCTCCCTCGATCTGGCGAGAGAGTCATCGTTTGGGGAGCGTCGGGTCAGCGGAGCAGGCCGGTCCTTTTGGGCACTTTTTCCGGCTTGCTCAAATTGTGTCAGGCGCAAGGGCCTACACAGGACTCCCTCATGCAGGACTTAGAAGGCATGCTGCAGGCCTGTAAACTTCTTTGCTCGCGTGCTTGATCTGTGTGTGCTTGTTTGCGGAGCCCAGGGTGTGCGGAAAAGGGATAGGGAGTGGCCCAAAGGCCAAGACTAAGCCCTGGCCCTGCAGTTGTGCTTTTTGGTCGTGGGGCTTGTGTTGTTGAAGGCTCTTTTTTGCAGACACGCGCATCAGCCTTACACGCATGTGTGATAGTTGTGTGCTTGTTTGCGGAGGAGCAGCCATCAGGACCGAGCAAAAGGAAGCGAGAAACAGGGCCGTTGCCTGTTTTCCTATTATCTTGCCTGTTTGAGCTGGCAGCATTGCCTAGGGTGTGCGGAGAAGAGATGGAGAGTGGCCCAAAGGCCAAGGCTAAGGCATGGCTGTGCAGGCATGCCTTCTTTGGCCCAACGTTAAAGTAACTGCATTTTATCTAGCTTCTTCGAGTGAGGGCATGAGCTTGGTCTCAAATGTGGGGAGCTTCTGAGCTGTCGTCGCTAGCCTGCACAGAGGCTGCGGGGCATCCTTTGCAAGCTCGTGTTGATGGCCGAGAGCCGACGGCGCGCGGCCGAGCAGCTGCGTGAGATTGATGTTTGCGTTATTTTCTTCACTTCCTGCATGCTTCAGGTACAGGAGCTCAAATGTGACCTGCGCCAAAGGGGGCTGCCAGTTGGGGGAGAAAAAGCTGTGCTGATGGCCAGCCTGGAAGAGGTAGGTCGGGTTGTAGATTTGTGCGCGTCAAGTGTTGTTTGGGCAGGTCAGAAAAAAAGATGCTGCCTGAACACAAGATAGCTTGGATGCCGACCCCGCCCCGATGCTGAAGGCGCATTATAGCTATGAGTGGCATGGGGCTGCAGCAGAGGACCATCTGTTTTTTGAAGCTGCCCATTGCCATAGGCCAAAGGAAAGTTAGACACAAGCACGCCCAAGGGCAAAGGCGAGAAGGGTAAGGCCGGCTTCGCAGGCGTCGCTGTGCAAGAAAGCGGCGTTCTGAGAGAGGCCAGCAAGAGCTTGTTGAGCACAAGAAAAGGAAAGAAGGCGCGTTGTGGCTATGAGTGGCGTGTGGTTGCAACGGATGATCCACTTGCGCAAGGATGCTCAAAGCAAGCACGCACGGGGACAAGGCGAACAGGCGAGGCAGACTTTTGTCGTATGCGTGTGGGTGTGTGGGCGTCGAGCTTCCACAGTGGATGACGTTTCAGACTTCTCCCATGGCTGTCAGCACGGGGCAGGTGAAATCAGGCTTCCGCTGCTAGCCTTCCAGGAGGATCCGGAAGACTAAAAGTGATCATAATTGGAATCTTATCACTTCCAGGAGCTTCCCGGGAGCTTCCCGGAAGCTTCCCGGAGCTTCCCGGAAGCTTCCCGGAGGCTTCCAGGACCCGGAATACAAAAAAGTGATAATTGGAATCGAATCATCATTTTCGTGCTCCTGGAAGCTTCCAGAGGAGCTTTGCAGGGAGCTTCCCGGAAGCTTCCCGGAGGCTTCCAGGAGGATCCGGAATACTAAAATTGATAATTGGAATCGAATTATCACTTTCGTGCTCCTGGCAGCTTCCAGAAGCTTCCTGTTTCTTCCAGGAAAGCTTCCCGGAGGCTTCCAGGAGGATCCGGAATACTAAAATTGATAATTGGAATCGAATTATCACTTTCGTGCTCCTGGCAGCTTCCAGAAGCTTCCTGTTTCTTCCAGGAAAGCGTCCCGGAGCTTCCAGGAGTGATTTGTATCCTGGGAAGTTAGTCGTGTCTACCGCTAATCTTGTCGTCGTTGCAGCTGAAGCTTGTCGTGGTTACCGCTCAGGTGCTGTCGCGGTTACCCCTGAGGACTTAGTCGCGGTTACCACGGGATCTCTATTCCTGGACTTTGGGCCTGAAACCGTGTAGCGACCAAAAACTGTTGGACTTGTTCTTGCCGATCCGCTCAGGACGTGAGTTGGAGGGTTTCTTAAAATGAAGGTGAGACCTGCGGGTGGCTCCATTTCAGGAAATGATTTCCGGGTGAGTTCTTAAAACGGTGGACCGCTTTTGGATGGTTTGTCTGACGGGGGCCCCCTAGTTCGAGGACTGTCGTTTGTTTGGTTTGAATCAAGTGCTGAGAAGAGGGTGCTCTCTTTTTGTGTTGCCCAGGGTTAGTGGAGAATGGAGCTACCAGGAGTTCTGTGAGGAAATGGTAGTACCCCCTCAACCCTCACCCCCCGCCAACCGTGCCACTCGATTCCTCAGGCTTGGGCCGCGCCTTCGTGGTCGCCACGCCAGTGGTGCCGGGGGAGCTGGCGGCCCTCTGCTCAGAGATGACGGAGAGAGAGGGGTCCATGTGTGGTTTGAAGGGACTCTCAGATTGGTTGGCCGTTTAGCTGGAAGTCAAAAAACATCCAAGCCAGAAGTAAAAACAACCCACTCCCATGTCTTGGGAAGTTAAAACCCCTCCCCACTGATTTTTTTTGGGGGGAGGGGGCATGCCGCTATATATGGGGTTTGGGCTTTAGAGCCTTGATGGGACGGGACCCGGTCACACATTTTGAGACATATGCCATATCCATGTCGTGGACCCTTTTTGAAAAGTGCAATTGCTTTGCAACCTCCTTCAGGGCATTGGGTTTTATGGGTTTGGGCTTTCGTGAGGCTTGAAACCGGGGGCTTAGGGAAGTTAGCTCCTGTTTGTCATATTTCAGAGGGCATCTTTCAATTGGTGTGTGTAACAGCCACCTGCTGTTCTTCAAAGGGAATCCAAAAGGACGTTGTTTAAGTTGAAGTGATAGTGGTTTAAACATGGTCAAACATGTTTGAAGGTGGATACCAAACCCTAAGCCAACAGTGGTCCCAAGCGGTACAAAGGTCAAGGGTTCCTTGTTATACATCCAATTTGCCAGGCTCAATCCCTGAAAGAGCGTGAAAGCTCACCATATCTCACCATCCTGAGCAAAGGTGGCAAAATGGGTGTACGAGGATCACAAAGTCAGAACCTGTCAGATCCTGTCAGTTAGCTGGTTCCATTTCCCAATGGCCACGCATGGGAAAGAGCAGCCGTTTATCCACTATATCCCATGAAGCCACTAGGGGCCAGGTTGGTTGGGTGCAACCCATCTGGCGGATTTCTTTAAAATGGAGTTGGGGGCGGTGGGATTTCAATCTTGGAGATGTCCATTCATAGTTCCACTGGTAGCATTGACGGCTTCCAAAGCGGACTCCATAGGAGGGGACCGGTACGGCGGCACCAAGAATGAACAAGGGGCTACATGTTTGGCAACATGGCCTTGTTAGTCGTTGCAGAATGTTGTACAGCTCATTTTCCCTGGGTTGTTTTGGGTATGGTCATGTGCAAATACATTTGCCCCCGGGGTGGGGTAGGGCAAGCATCGCCCAAAACCCATGGATGTCCTTTTTAGGTTGGCCATTAGCTTGATTCAATATGGCCCTGGTGTAGCTGGATTTTTTCATGTGCCAGGGGCCATCCATTTTACCGATGGACACCTATGCCAAAACCCCTGTGACCATTTTAGTAGGTGGTTCTGATCCCGCAGAAACAACGATCACTGGGTGTTGCGGGTTCCTTATTCCCCAAACATCCTCTAAAGCAGCTGTTGGGTGTTTTGGTTGCTGGCCCGAGGGCTGAGCAATTATGAATGGAAGACTTTAATCATGGCCACAGTTTGTTTCCCACAATGAGACTCAAATTATTTAGGCCCTTGTCTCACTCCATAGATGTATGGACTTTCGTCACGTTTTGGGCCTGGCTTTTCTGGCCAATCTGGATCGAAAGTGAGACAGGGTTTTGCGTTCCCTGCCATATGGCTTCATTTGAGTGGCATAGATGTTCTTGTAAGTGAGTTCGACTAAAAATGGATGGGTTCCACTGGTTTCCATGGGTTCTATGTGATCCCTTTTATTCCAGGGAAAACCCATCTATTTTCCGATGGCACCGGTTTAGCTGGGTCTTAGTGTCTTCCATTTTTCCCAGGGAAAACCAAAAACAACGGCACACCGACGTGTGGCGCCTGCCTGCCCAGTCGTCGCGGCCGCCCTCGAAGCCGAGGCCACGATCACTTCCAGCGCTCAGCTGCCCTTTGAGCAGGCGGCCATGGATGAGGGCGTGATGCCCTGGCTGGACCGAGACCACCAGTACTGGGACATCCCGGCGCCGTGACTGAAGGGCCAGGGCAGGCAAAGCGTGCGTTTTTTTTTTTAGATAAAAGGGGGAACGGGGGAGTATATATATATATATAATATACATAATGTACACAATGTAATTCAATGTACGTACATACACTCACGGCACAACACACTTTTCGGATATATGAATATATTTGTATATATATATATATTTGTATGTACAGCCACTGACCTTGATGAGGGAAGGAACAAGTCAACGTTTCTTTTGAGGGTTGTGTAGTGCTGGATCCCTTGAGGTGGTTGCATTGGGAGAGAGCCCCTCGTTTGCCCGGCATTTGGAGTTTGAGGTGGCTTTAGTAGGCCAGGTTCATGCGAGGTGTGGAACCCACTCAAAGAAGGACTGTTGCTTGGGAACGTTGTGGGATCAAGGGGTTTCTCCCCACTTCTGCGATACAAGGGAATCCCCCTTTATATGAACAAAATAGTCTTTGGGAAGCCCTTTTTGTTGTATCGCAGAAGTGGTCATTCCCTGCAGCCCTGCTTGGGAATCTCTGGCTCATCCCCCCCTGAAGAGAAGGAGCCAACCCCACACCCATGATCTGTAGAGGAATCTGCTTTCTTGAGGGACCCCTTGCTTTGTGCGGGGGGGTAAACATGGAGTCAACGAAAGAGGGGTCCAATTCATTTCCCACCGAACGGGCTGTTCGCATCCGGGCGGCTGCATTTCCCAGCCCGAGGAGCTCCCCGTTGTTATGTGTTGGTGAACCAAGTTCAGTTCACAGCGCACCGTTGATGCGATCTCCATCCTTGGAAGTTCGGAATTCGGGGTTTTCCTGCACACTTGGCTGGCGGGTGCTGAGTAGGGAATGACCCAGGGTTTGGGAATGGACCAAGGGTTCCCCACTGAAACCGGGATCCCAAAGTAAAAACAGTTCTAATATTTGTACTACGGTGGTTCCTCTCTAAAAATGGTCAACCCCAAAAATAAGTAGTCTCAATTAGTGTACTGCCGAACCTTGGTGCTAAATTTGCCCAGGAATTGCAATTTCCCAACAGCAAAAGCAACAATCAAGGGGATGGATCGTTTTTCCCATTTCAATTTTCCAGCCCTCATATAACCCAAAAAGGAACAGGCTGATCAATGCTTGCCACCAGCAGTTGCACCTCTTGGGTGACCCTTTTGAGAAACCCCCATTCAACCCAATCCCAAGCCGCTTGATTGTCTCATCTTGAGACCTTTTTTTTGGATTTGCCGAGTGTTTAATTTCCACAGACTGATAGGTGTCCTCCATGTCCAGTTTGTGGAACCAATCGTTTCAATGGCAGCCACCAGTAAATTGATCTCAACTTTTGATTTGGGACAAAATCCAGTGACCACTGACCTATTTAGTTTGTTCTTTGTTTGTCCCCGCTTTTTTCAGACCTATTTATTGCCACAGACTGACAAGCGGGTCTGTCTCTTTGTTCAGGGTAATTCCCCCCCCTTTTTTTTCTCCGAGGGCAAGCAAGCGGCCACCCGAAAAGCGCCCGCCTTGGGGGGGGTGACGGATCCATGGCCGAGGAGTTCATGAAGCGGGGCATCCTCTTCCAGGGCCTCTTCAAAGACGTGGCGCCGGGCACCACACTCACGGTGCGGCCCAACTCCGCCGCCCAGGCGGATGGAAGCGGGAAGCAATGGACTCGAAGGGGCCCAACATGACTTCCATTTGGTGAAGAATATTCGTTGAATTTTCCCCTGATGGTTTTAAAGGGGAATGTATCACTACTGTTTTTTTCCAGGGGACTTAAGCAAATGGAGGATGATCCAAAGGTTCTGTACATGAGATGACCGTTGGGGAAAACCACGAAAAATACGATATGTCAACCACGAAATGGTAAAAGTTACCCAGGGTCATTTGGGGCCTTTTCACGCAATATGTGTGTCTTGTTATTTTGTGGACGAAGTATGGGTCAGAGAGTTACAACTTCCAGAGCGGCTCATGTTTTGTCAGTGGGCATGGGCTTTCTGACCAAGAACCAAACACGGTAGCTGTCACAAAATGAATGGCAAACCAAAGATGTCTCGCAGCAATTGGACATGTCCCAAGGTTTTATCAGGGGCAGTTTGGGTTTTGAGCCTGGTCCAAAACAAATCCCAAGGATGGCACAATGCCATTGTCGATCCTGGAATTGATCCGGTGGATTAAGGGACAACCTGCGACCTTTTTGAATTTACACCAGCCGTGTTTGTTTTGATATTCTCATTTTGGTGTTTTTCACAGACGAAGCGAACAAGCAAGTGAGTGAGCGACTGGTGATTCCAATCAACAAAACACCGCGGTCCCGCTTTTTGTGGGTTTGAAATCCCACCGGCTGCAGTGTTTTTCTTGTTAGAAATCACGCCTGTGGGGTCCCATTTGTCTTTTGGAAATTCACGCCTGGGGGGTCCAGGTGTTTTGTTTTTGTTGAAATTACTCCCCAGAGTAATGTAAAACAAGGAAACACTAGGACCCCCAGGCGTGATTTAAAAAGACAAAACACGAGGGCCAGAGGCGTGAGTAACAAAAGAAGAAGAAAAGAAAACAGAGCCCCAAGACCTGAATTCCGGCCCACAGGCATGAATGCAAACAAAGGAAGCACCGCGAATTATGTGGTTCCAACAAGAAAAAGGCCCTTCCTGACCGGTCCATGTTCCCAGTGGGCATGCGCTTTCTGACGAAGAACCAAACACGGCAGCAATTGGCTAGCTGTCACAAAAAGAATCTCGCAGCTATTGAACATGTCCAGGGCAGTTTGGCCTTTGTACAGGGAATCGTGCCATTTGCTGTTCCCCAGCTCCACTATACGCCCCAGAGCAATGTTAATAGTTTATAGTTCGGGGCCCATAGTTCGGGTCAACATTAGATCTTCCCTTTTGGTTTTCGCTTTGGTTTCCCTTTAAAACCGCCTCAAAAGGGGTACCAACTCAAAAAGGAAAGATGAGGCACCCATATTTTACCGGCTTCCCGGCAAGCCGCTTGCTTGAGGTCTTCGTGATCACGGAGCGGCGCTCAGGCACGCCAGCCAAACCCAGCTGGGCGGAGCCTTTGGTGCGCGTTTTTTTTTGGTGACTTTTTTTTCTCCGGTGCCATACGAAAAACAGAAAGGGTTCCGGTTCTCCAATTCTTGGTTCCTTGGGAACGCAAAAACTTAGATAATCCTGAATTGGTGATTTGGATTGATGGTTTCACACAAGTGGCAAGGCGATTCCAACAACTCTGGCTTTTTTCCCTTAACCTTCTAGGGTGTTTCCACTTTGTTTCATGAGTTGATTTGTTCGTCCCGGCCTTCCAGCAAGGTATATATTTCCACGTGGGTTTGCTTGAAAAACGGGGAGCCCTCAAAATGGGTGGTTTCCGTTTGGTGCCCCTTCAAAATCAGTACCCCCTGACAAACCACCCACAACACACACACACACACCAACCAACCGGCCAGTTCTTGTTCCATCAGCTGGTTTTTGCTCACGGCCGAGGAAGACCTGGCGCAGACTTGGCAGATGGAGGAAGCGGCCCCCCGGTGGCACGACCGGCCCACCATGCGCAGCTTCAGCAGGCCGGTTTAGTAAATACATGGTTGTTGTTGGGAAACATTTTGCATTTCTTGCTTCTTGTCGTTTAGTGGGAAATCCCCACTTAACTGCTCAAATTTAAATTGGTGCTCCCCTTCCAATGTCGACCAAGATTAGAGCAATTTGCCAGAGTTCCCCTTTGTCCAACAATCATGGAAGTGGAAGCTCCCCAAGAGGCAAATCATTTCGGACACAGGAGCTGACATGATTGCTGGCGGGTATGTCTTTTCCCCCTGGATTGAAAGGGAATCTATCACTATATCTGCTTAATAATGTTATTTTTCCCGGGGACTTTAGCAGTTGGGGGCTTGTCGTTTTTCCAAGAGCTATGAGGGAAGTGTTCCAAAGCCCTCCGATCGTCAGCGTCTATGATTGGAGGGAGGGAGGGAGGGTAGGTGGCTGGGTTATGTAACATAGTGGCAATATCTGAGCAAGTTATGAGGAGCTCATCCATAACTAACTTGGGGTTGAGGAAGCTCAACCATTGTAATGGGGAGCCATGGGAGGGTCCCTCAGGTACCCGCCAAGTGGTTCACGTTGGCTCATCCAACAATGGTCATGGCTTCCCATGGTTTTCCTTTCAGACGGCCCCTTCAAACCGCCCAAAACTTGCTGGTGCAGGAAATGGGACCTGGAATGACCGATGTAGACCACGGGAAGCACCAAAGCCGGTTCATTCCCAACTTCCGGGCTCGGTCATTCCTTAGGACCAGCGTCGGCTCGTTTCTCGAAGTAGGGGCCTACCATGGCGTTCAGATTTCCTTGAAACGAAATGAGAAAGGAGACAACGTGAAGCCAGCTGTTTCTTTCTCAAAATGCAGTGGATGGACAAAATCCTGCACCGCTTGGAAACTGTGGGAAACCATTCTTTGGTATTTACAGGGGAATCATCCGAAACCAGGGTCTCTGAGGTGGTGCGAATGGATTTCGTCCATCCATCCTAAATATAGGGTCTTGGGGAAACCACATGGTGAGAAGCGGCCCTCATCGGCCGCCAGGAACTGCCCGGCCGGGTGGGCGCTCACGTTGCCGCCCTGCCACGCCCCCCCGAGGGAGGGCCCCGTCTTCTCGGTGGTGGTGCCTTGGACGCCGTCCGGCGAGCGAGCCCGTTTCTTCGGGTCGCAAACGAGGCGAAAGGCGGCAATTCTAAACTTCCATTTGCTCAAGTCCTCCGGAAAACAAACATAGTCCCAGCAGTCACAGATCCCCGAAGAAGATCATACGCAAACATACCAGGACCTTCGTCAATGGCAGTCAGAAGGCCACAAAAAAAACGCAACCTTCCGAACTCACCTTTGTTTAAAGCTTGGAATGAGGGCCTCTGGTTTTCAACAGCTCGGGCCAACTCCCGAGAAAGGAACCACACCCAAATGGCTGAGGGTCAAAACCAATGGGGACCCATTTTGGGGTAGGTGCACCCATTTTAGCACCTATTTTAGTGGTTGGATTGGGATGTTGGGGGCGAACCGGGTTGTTGACCCCTGGCCAAATCTGCATTGCCAAATGTGCGCCACCTCCGAAAGTGTATGCACACATGCCCCATTCTTTCTCGCATGACTTGGGGCCCTCGGCCCCGTTTTCTTTTTTTTTCTTCTCGCCTGCCCGAGGTGACACCTGTTCCGGGCCAGGCCACCGCACCGCTGGAGGTGTCCAGCTTCAAAGAGGCGAGCTCTGGGCGGAAGCCATGTAGCAACCAAGCCCCTGGAATGATACATGGCTCCCCTGGAAATGACAATGGGAAACCCTGGAATGATGAGTCCCTTGTAAACGCCAAACAAACAATGGGAGTTTCGCTGGAATCATGATTCTGACTCGTGCATGTTGGTCTGGTCCTCCTCTATAGTCACCCGCTTGCGGATTGCGGGTTGTGCGTTGCACGCATTGTCCGTGCTCCAACATGCGGTTTTGACCCAAAGCTTGAAGCTCGAATTACGGATAAAGAAGATTAAAGGTTTGATCGAGAAAAATAGGTTCAGTTCCTTCTGGAACGACCCTTGGGGTTTTCCCGTACCAGGGAACCCCCAAACATGGGCCATTGGTTTCCCTTTCGGTCGGCTCCGAATCTACCGGCCTTTTGGGTTTCAGCTTTCAGCGCGCGGGTCTCATGTGCCGGGGAGTGCCCATGGTGTGCACTCCAACCCATGGAGCAGCATGGGACACACACCAAGTGTTTTTAGCCAAAACGAGTTTTTTTCTGCAAATCTGAGTGCCCGTCAAGCCTTGTTTCAGGGTGCTTTGGGTGGGTTGCGGGGAAATCTGTGGGTGCCAAATAGCCCATATGTGTTATATCCCCCTGAAGGAAGGACGCCTTTGTCAGACCCAAAGAGCCGCTTCAACGGGCAATCCACGATTTACGACCCTCCTGTTGGGCACCCGGGAAATCCGCACCCCCATCATGGCCACTTGGGTGTGGGTCAAAATTAGGCCACCAGGAATTGGACCGCGGGTTTTAGTCATTGTTTCCATTTACCAGGGTGCAATTTCGGGTACCTTTTTTTGACCCACAGCCACCGCAGGAGTCCTTTTGCGACGTGGACCTCGCCAAGCTCGAAGAGGGCGCGGCTCTGCGGCGACGCAACTCGGAGGTGGACGAGGCCGTGCTGGGCACCTTGGAGGAGGCAAGTACTCGGTGTGCAACTGCTGTGCCTCAGTGTTCCGCCCCCGCCCCAAAGCTGACAAAAACCCATGTGCAACTTCCGTAATGTTGACCCCGGATTAATCAACCCCCTGTGTATTAATATGGGGGGTTCCCCTCCAAAAGTGATAAATCCCCGCTAAAACCAGGGACACCCCCATATTAATCTGGGGTCAACATTAGGTCCTTATCTTCACGGTTCCTCCCAAAGGACCTCCCCTTTCTGGATGGCGACTGGGTGGGGCTTTGTGGGTCAACATACTCCTCCGAATGCAAGAGGCGCCTTTATGCAAAAGTTGATCCTATGAATTTCCTTGCCATGTCGGTTTGCTTCGTTCTCCCGGTTACCCAACAAGCAGGTAGCTTGTCGCAGTATTTGTTTGATCCGTTCAATTGCAACACTTTGCATACTTGTTCCCACTCGCCTTTTAGTTTCCCCTTGTTGTGCTTGTCCCATGGCCCCTGTTTCGTCAAGGGCGCAAGAACGGTGATCACAGTTTGCATCCGGTCCTGCCAAGTGAGCGAGCACCGGTGCCTTCCGAGAGGTGCCAGGGTGGATGCACGGGACACTGGTGCGGCCAAAAGAAGACGGGGAGACGCTCGGTGCTTCAGCATAGGCGACCCTTAGCCTGGTGTTTTTTGTTTTTTGTCTTTTTGGATTGGTGGCTTGGATTTGAACATTTGGCTCTTGTAGAGAGTAGATGGAAATCATCCCTATCCTCCAAACCACTAATCCACCGATTCGATTGGAGCGGATCTAGTGATTACCCTTGAAACACCGACCGCTGCACGGAGGCGTTGCAAGCTTTATGGGTGATAACTCTGAAACAAACTGAATCTAGTAGTGCGTAAGCAGCACACCGGTACCATAAATGCAATCATATCCATACAGTTGTTCAGCGGCACCCTCTAGAATCCTTTTTGTTTGGTGTGGTATCCTCTAAAATCTGATCCATCACACAAGGGGTTCCCTTTTTGTACGAGGGTCACTGAACCGGCTTTGCTAGTGTTGAGTATGGTTTGTCCAAGTTGGCATTGTATATGTATGCTTTGAGGGATCCACCGTTCCCAGAAGCTCCTCACCGAACATCCCCTGGAGGTTGGATTTTGAATGGACATTGGGGAGAGGACACATGTTGAGCGGTTCCCAAGTTCGGGAAAGAACCTAGTATTTTGGATGATAATTGCAGTTGGAATATGGCCGTGTTGTAAGTTCGACACAATGTTGCAGTTATCATAGTGATATACAGTTACAGTATTATAATTGCACGACAGGCTCGCAGTCAGAACACGAACTAAGTGTGACAGGAAAACTCCGGATTCGGTTGGATTCATGGCAATATGCTTCAACACACAATACTTGAATGAGAAGCTAACTCAGACTCCGAATTAAATAGTCCAAAGTTTGAAAGCACAACTCCCCCTTTGCAAGTTTTGTACGAGCCCCTGAGGGGGAAATCTGAAACTCCAGCTAGGACGATGTGCTTTATGTCTTTTCCAGCTCTTGGTAAGTTTAGTGGTGAGTGTCAAGACGTTTTTCTGACCAATCCACTCAGGAGGTGAAATTGAGACATGAGCAAGGAGAAAGGGGATGACACACTCGCCAACTCGCTCCCTGAGTTCCTGGACTTTCCTCACTTTTGGGCTTGAATCATTTTAGTGACAACACAAGTTATTAACCAGGCTCCCGCCTGCTGCCGCCGACCCTCGGCGCATTAAGGGAAAAGTCACAAGGACCGGTCCTGAAACACGTCCGCAAACCCAGGGACCACTTATAAGATTTTCTACGACCACAAACAAGGATTAACGGAAAAGTCAGAAATATGGCAGCTAGTCCGTTAATTGCCGCTTGGGCCGGCTTGCGCCCAAGTCACTTCGAGTTGGCCCGGGAGCAGTCGCCTGTCCCGGGTCGCCCTGAAACTGGCCCTCCCGAAACTGCCCCGGCGACAGTGGCCCTAGTGGCCCTGGACCGGTCGCCGGCAGTAGATCCAGGGATCCTCTACTACCACAAGGATTAGCGGAAAAGTCAGACAGGCGGCAGCTCGTCCGTCAATGACCGCACGGGCCGGCTCGCGCCCAAGTCACGTTGAGCTGGTCCTAGAAACAAGGCCGTCGGTGCCCCTCAACCGGTCGCAGGGAGGGACTGGGACTTGGGACCCTGTCCGGTCCTGAAATCCGGAAACAGCGACACTGAAAAAACAGGTGTCTGGAGCTGTTTGAGGTGGCACCGGGTTTCTGCAGCGGTTTGAAGTGGGATCCGATACCAGCGGCTGGGACCGGACCAGTCCTGACAGCGGTCCTGGCCGGGACCAGTCCCAGGACCGGTACCAGGACCGGTCCCAGGACCGGTCCAGGACTGGTCCTGAGACCAAACCTGGGTGCCAGGACCGGTCCTGCGACCGGTTTCAGGACCAGGACCGGTTTTGGCTGACTGCAAGTAATCCGAAGCGGTCCCATAACCAGTCCCAGGACCGGTCCCAGGACTGGTCCCAGGACTGGTCCCAGGACCGGTCCCGGGACCGGTCCTGGGAATCCACTTTTTGTACTTTCGGCCAGGGACCATCATTGATTCCATTCACTTCCAGTTGCATCCCTCGCCGGTCCCCTCTGCAGGAGGCTGGGACGGGAGGCAGAGGGTCGGCGGATTAAACTGTTTGTTGGCCAATCCACTCAGGAAATGCGATCCAAACATGCCCGCATACCAAAATGGGATTGGGGGGGGGGAATCTCCCTGGAATACTAGTAATTAGTCCTCTCTCCCTTTGTCCCGGATCAATTAAATGGAAGTGGGGTTCCTTAAGCCCCTTCCTCCTTAGGATGGGATACATTTGGGTTCAACCCCCTTCACCGTATGGCTGGCTTTGCTCATAGAATTCGGGGGCCTCGCTCTCTCCACCCTTCCCAAGGTGATTAGATGTTGTGGGAGTTGGCCATGTGGCTACTCAGTGAGCCTTAGGCTTAAGTGAGTGCGCCTCAAAATTAGGGGACCCCGGAATGCATGATTTGCTATTGGTTCACCTCAAAAGCCAACCCAAACTCAAAAACGACACTCCTCAAAACAGGTACCGAACCAAAAACAAACTACTTTTCTTTGAACAATCCCCACCTAAGCTCGACTGCAACAACAAAGCTGCCCTTCAAGGGGGAATATCCAGCTCGTGCCCTAGGCTCCCTTCGCGCTTCGCCGTGCGCTGTGCCGGCTGCTCGGTGGTCTATGCGCTGCTTCCGGCGCATGCCAGCGCGTCAGTGCACAGCTCCAGGCGCAGCGGGCGAAGGGGCGAAGGGCGCTCCATCCTGTGAGCTTCGGATCCAACCAATAACAAAGGGGATGTGTGTGTGTGTTTAATCGTTGGCTTCAAGCAAATGTGTTTGTTTTGGTTTTATGTTCACTGTTCTCGGCATTTGTTTTAAACAAATGGTGTTGCTCATGTTTTGTGGGTGGCAGCAAACAAAAACAATATTTTGCTCTCACACCAAGGAGGGGAAGTTAGGGGGAGCCCTTTAATTAGTGCATGCGGTCCTTTGGGTAAGTGCGAGGTGGATAAACGCGTTAAGAGGGTCTTCGGAGAAAATCCAACAAATCTGCCAATCAAGGATGGTTCCCTTCTCTGTGGGTGCGTTGAGGGCCATGTTGATATTCATAGTGCTTCCGATTGGTCTAAGCGTGTGTTGGCTTAGTTGTATCTTTGGTTTGGGTATTTTTGTATCTGGGAGATGTGGCCATACTTAGTTCTCGCAAATGGGCCAGTCGAGGTGCAACTGTAACCAGAACATGTTCCTGCAACCTGGCTCACTTCTCAGCAGACCTTTTAAACTTTTGACCTGTGGTTCCTAAGATTGTGCCGACTTTGGCCCAAAAGCTGGTCACTTCGCTTGTCCAGCTTCGGGCAAGCACTCTCCACATTAACATGGAACCCCCAGAAATCATGGCCCTTGGGGAAGTCAACTTCAGGCCAAAGCCAACCTTTTGACCTTCTAGTTTCCCCTATTTACTCCTTTGGGCAGAGCAAAAGGAGGTTGTTTGAACTAGCTGGTGGTTGGAAGGGAGCCAAGGAGCTGAAAGGGGGAGCTAAGGAGCTACCAGGAGTTCTGTAAGGATATGGTAGGGAACAGCCCTTCTGTTGGCGTCCATTTAAAAGGCGGGCCTCCCTTTAAAAGGCAAAGAACAGTAGATAGAATTTCCATCTTCTTCCTGCACTAATCAAGGGGAATGACTCACCAGTTTTGGACTCGCCACAGCTTTGGAGACCACTCCTGAGCTCGCTTAGCACATCGCGGGGGTGACAATGGGCGAAGGCCAAAATCATGGGCCTGAGCATTTAGGGCAAAGATTGATCAGATGTTTTCCAGCAAAACATGGCTGGCAATGTGTGCGAAGGTGTTGGAGGCTTATTCGGTGCCGGGCTGAACGCTAGGTAGAATCGGCGGGTCTTGGCAAATGGTGCAAGTCAAGTCGTGGCTTTTCAGCCAAAAGGAACAACAAAGCATTGGTCAGGGGTTCCTCCATGTCCCTTTTTGGAACCTCCAGAGGTGGCAGTTTCAATGGACACCTCAATGGTGGTGACACCTGTTGGTGTTTTCAAGTGCAATTGTGCGAATCTATAAGTTGCCCGTCCTCCCCCTTGATTCAACGGCCGTTCAGCCGGGGTTTCGTATATGTTGTTTTTGGCCAGCTTTAGCATCCCGTTTGTGCCGTAAGATCATGTTGTGTTGGTGGGGTGATGCTTGAATGTGACACGTGTGCCATGCTCACCCTTTCGAGTTTAAGCACTCCTTACTCAAAGGGAAACCAAAAGGAAAGCCACAAAATTTGAGTGGTCCTAAAATGGGAAACAAGACAGATCCATGTGTTCGAGTCCTTTTCTTCTCGACTTGTACCCTTTCAGCTTGCTTTACCGGGCGAAACGCGCTCGCATCGCCCGCGAGCGCGAGCGCTCGCCGGCTCGCGCTGAGGTGGGGCAATGGCTGGGAGCCGCGGGAGGAGGCACCGACCTGGCAGCCCCAGGAGAGCTCACCCCTTTTTTTCGGGATCCCGGAATTCAACGGTTGGATTTTTGTTTGTTGTTTTTTTGCGGAATTTCAGAACTTCCTGCGATTCGGGAGGTTTGTTCAATTGTTCCTGGGACTTTGTGGACGCGGAGAGAGCGGGAGAGAGAGAGAGAGAGAACAAAAGCAACTCCTTGAGCGGGCTTGTTTTTGTCACTCCCCGAGTTCCTGGACTTTAAACCTTTTTGGGCGTGCACCATTTTAGTGGCAACAAAACAGGTTGGATACCTTTTTGTTGGTCAGTCCACTGAGGAAATGAGTCTTTCAGAGAATCTATCACTACGTACTGTGCATATTTTTCCATTAAGATCTGTAAGATTCCTGTTGGTGAGGGAATCTATGGTCTGATGTTCCAGGGGACTAAAGCAAGTGGAGGATCATGTCATTGTATTGATTAAAGTCTCATGTTATGCTATTGTGTATTGGTTACCCACTGGCATTCAGCAATCACCAATTTGGAAGAGCCACTAGGCTTGAGTTAATGCTTGAGGTAATTAAGACTTGGAACTCTGAAGTTCTGAAGTGAGTTTGGTTGAACGCAGGGCGCCCCCCACAGGGCAGAAGCCCTCTCTTGGGCGTTTCGTTAATCCAGACCAACAAAGCCAACGGGCCCCCCAATAGGGGCCGATTCCCAAATACGGCCTTTATTTGGGGCTAGTAGGGTTGCTGTTGGGTTCCTTTTTCGTGTCCAAATCCTTGGGGGCTGACACTGGGGATTTGAACCTCAGTTTCTTTTGCAACCAAATGGGCAGGGTACACCAAACCACCAAATGGGAACTGGTTGATGAATAGGGGGGTGTCCCCGAAGAATGGTTCAGGCGCTCGCACCCCTTGCATAGAACCGGTTTAATCCGGGGCCAGCATGAGGACAAATCCGGATACATCCGGATGTATGAAAGGTGAACCAGATTGCTGTGTAAGGTGAACCAGATGGCTGTGTAAGGTGAACCAGTTTTTGTTTAAGGTGAACAAGTCCGCAGGGCTTTATAAGATGAACCAGTAATCCATATTGTTTTTGTCCAAATCCGCGAGGACGGGGGTCTGAAGAGCCGCCTGGCGGTGCTGGCGAAGCGGGTCTCGGCCAAAGAGCTGCTGGCGGTGCCCCCGGAAATCCCCGAGGAGGCGGACGCAGCGCTAAGCGGCTGTGTCGTCATGTTTCTTCCATTTGCTTGAGATGTTTTTGTTATATATATATAGTTGTTTTATTTTTTCCAGGGGGCTTAAGCAAATGGAGGTGTTTCTCGCTTTTTTGGTCGGCTGACTCAAGGCTGTATAAAGGGAAACCTAAAGGCAGCCGAAGCTTTTTGGGTCGTAGTTTGAGACTAGCCCATTTGCCCTGTGGGCTTTGCTTGCGGGGAAGGGGGATGTGGGCTTTGCCAGAGGGGAAGGGGGATGTGAGCGTGTTTATGTTGAGGCTACACTTTTCGGGAGGTTTAGGACACCCAAAGCATGAGCTCCCTGCTTCACACCAACCCAAACTAGAGTATCGTTGTCGGGCCGTTGTCGGGGTTCCCCCACTGGTGCAATCCTCGCCTAGCTGAACAAGGACCTAAAGTTTGTTTGCTAGCATACTACGGGTTGGCAGGTTGGAAGATTCTTGCCACACATTTGTGGATGTTCAACTTTTTGGGAAGCGCGTTTTAGTGGTAACCAACAAGTCTGGACTTTAGTCTTATAGCAATCCATCCAGCAAGCGAAGCTAGTTAGGGTAATAGATTTTCAAAGGTTGCTAAAGGAAAACCTGACACGTTGCCAGGATTGGTAGGTTGGGGAAACATGTTTTTCCTTGCCAAAAGAGAATGCCCCTTTTGACTGTTTTTGCGCTTCTTGAGTTTTGGTCCACCGGTCCTTTGGGCAAATCAGGTTTACAGTTACCAGCGAAAGGGTTAGGTAGTCAGTCCGACAAAGGCGGTCCATTTTTTTGTTGACTGTCTTCGTTGCCAAAAGTTGGACCTTCCGGATTCAGAGATGTTGGCCACTGCCTGAGCTCTTGGACTTTCTACTTTTGGGAAGACAGTTTGATAAACAGCAAGTCTTAATCTTGTTTGGCCAATCCACTCGGGAAGTGAGTCTTGGACGCTGCCATGGGCGCAAGACCCGTGCACCGTCCTGAGCTTTGGCACCTGGCGTCCGGTTCTGGCGCTGGTTGGTTTCCCTTGAACGCAAATCCAAACAGGTCGCTCACTTTCGATTTTGACCCGACCATGGAGCCCACCCGTTTCAAGCCATTCAGGTGATCACAAAATGGAATTGGAACAGGTGAGGCCTGGACATCTCCCTGTTTGGTAACCTATTTCCGGGGGACCCTCCACCAAGATCAACAAGCGTTCCACCAAAACCAACAAGAATTCCACCAAAACCAACAACCGTGGGTTTCCCTCGTCAGGTGCTGGCGCTGGTGGTGAAGCCGGACGCCGAAGCCTTCGATGCCTCTGGGGAGACCAACCATGGCCTGGAGCTAGCGCGCGCGCCTGCCCTTCGGCCGAAGAAAAAATGGTGCACGGCTTTGTCGGGGTGGGGAAGTCTCCAAAGGGGCCAATCTTTTCTTAGGGGACCCCCCCAAAAAAATGGTTTGCTTTTGGTTTCCCCTCAAAAACCCACCAAACATGGGTACTCCTCTCTAGGCTGTACGTCACTGTGTGTGTGCGCGCGTTTGTATGCTACCCAGGTAGAAGCTCTTTATGGAAACCCCAGAAGCACACCCATGTTTTTTTGTTTTTTTTTGGGTTTGTTTTTAACCTTTCACTTGTGGTCCAAAGGAGCTTCTCCTGGCTCCATGTCCAGCCAACGCGGAGGTCCATGTGGGGTCGCTAGTAAGTAGATTATTACCGATGGCTGGAACTGGTGTAACTGGGGTGATCGTCCCCTAATGCCATGGCTATAACCTACTTACCTGCTGTTGGTTGAACACCCAAGTTTGGAGCAAGGTCGGGTCAACTTTTAAGTTACCCCCGACAGCCAACGGAAGGAACCAACCAAAAACCACCATGTGTAGAGGAAACTCCTTTTGGGAAATGTACCCCCTTTGAGGTTCCATGTTATTTGTAGGGGAGTAGCTTTCCTGGGGCGTTCGAAGGGAACCACCCTTTCTTGGGGTTTCCCCATTTGGGCAACGCATTTGAACTTGTTTACCTTTGCTGTTCCCCGAGTTGTCCTTTCAACCAGAAACGTGTCACTCTCGCAAGCGGTCCCGCTCTGGCCCGGATACCGCCGATCTTCTCCAAGACCATTGTTCAAACTGTTCGAGAAGCAAGTGGGCGATGTACTTGAAAGGAGGTGCAGAAAGTTGCAACTCTTATGTTTGGAGAGTTGTCGGACCTGCCATTGATCAGCCACAATGGCATCAGCCAAAAAGTTGTCCGGAGCCCCCTCCATTGTGGCTAAGCTTCCCGCATTCCACGATCCCATGATGGACTGCGCGTAGGGAGAAAAGCCACACCCGCAACGAACACAGTTCTTTATGTATCCCGGTAGTCAATCAGAGCCCGTGCCTCAGGGCTCAAACAAGGAATTCCACGTCTTGGCATACACACACAGAGACAGAGACATAGATATATACATATGTATATATATATATACAGTTATATTTGCATACATGTGTACATATAAAAATGTATATATATATATATACATATCTACTACACAGATCTAAAAGGCTTTCGAGTGCACGCAGGCTGAGGTCCCCATATCACCCAGGGTTGCCTTTTGGAATTCTTTGAGTTGCGCGAGTTCTGCCCGAGGTGAAGGAGACGGGCTTGGCGTGGACGGACCGGCAGAACCGCTTGGCCTGGATCCCCCCGTGTATGAACGGAGGCATCCAACTGCGGGGGCCCCATGAGCTCTACACCAGGCTAGCTGAGCGCGCGCCAGGTGGGAGGCAGCTGCATTGCCCTCAGAAGCTTACTTCCTGAGTTTCGTTTCGGACTTTGGGCACTTTTGGGCTTGGGTGAGTTTCGTGCCAAACAAAAAGTGTTAACTTTCTTGGTCAATCCATTCAGGAAGCGAGGAAAAGGGGCAAGCTTGGCCATGTAAGGCCTTTAAGACCCCAAAACGTTCACTGTTCTGGCTTGCCAATTTGCATCAAAGTATTTCCCAGTTGCCCAGTGGCGCCAATTCTTTGTTCAATCTTTTTTGGGAAGGGTGCCCTTTAAACTCAACCAACCAAAAAAGGATGCCGAGTCTGTTGTCCCCATGGAAATCCACTGGGCATCTGAAGAATTTCAAGTCGCTCAGAGCTTCGGCGAGTCGGCCCCAGGTTCGCTTCCGCGCGCGCTCTACGACTTGCCTTGATTCTAGGGGTACCTTCCCCATTCTTTCCAGGGATCCTTCTTTCTAGAAAACCTCCGCAAACCCAGGGAGAATGGCCGGTTTTGGAAAGAACGATGGTTGAAAAGAATCGGGAATCAACCCTTAGATTGATTCGTGGATCCCTCGATCCCTCGATCATCGCAGGCGGGAGATGCAGCTAAAGCTTCGAGCTACCACGGCCTTCCGGGTCTTCGTGATGCGCCTCGGAACATAGGAAGAAAGGCAGGCATATCCCTGGGGTTCAAACCACCATACCTTTAAAACAACAGGGGTTCACAGAACTACCATTTTCGCCTGCCATCATCGAATTTGGGAAGCATTCTTTAATGGGAATGAAGCCTAAGGATATGAGGCCTTCCTCAAAATAATCGCGGGAGGCCTCGTTTTCTTTTGCTTTCCCTTGCATAAACAAATGGTGGTTTTCGCCAAACTGCAATTTCCCATGAAGAAGGTCTGATCATAGTACTAGGAAATTGTTGTTTGGGGCAACAACTATGTGTAAATTGTTTTTTTGTTTTCAGGTTATGCCAGCTTTGCGCAGGATCGAGGGGCAGTATGAGTCTCTGGTGCCTCGCGACGGTGGCGGCGCAGCCCTCAGGATTTTTCGCAGGCGTTGATTTGTCGATGTGCTTCTCCGCTCATGGCATGTTCCCAGGTACAAGGGAGTGGGTAGTTTCTGAGGGTTCCCTAGAGTTTTTTTTGGATTCTTGAGGACCCACCCCTTGCACCGCCCCCCCTTAGGGACTCCACAATTAAAAGTGTGTGTGTGTGTGTGTGCTTTTCGAGGGTACCCTCCGTGCGGTTGTGCTTATGTTTCTTTACAAGGAAACAAAAGGAACAACGCCGTTGGGGTGGCTCAAAAAGGTTTCCACTGCAAGAGGATTTCCGAAGTCCAAGAGAAAATCACAGAAAGACAAAATTGGGCGGTCACTTTTTTTTACACATACTGTACTCGGACACGTCCCTGGATATGCCAAGCCTTGCAAAACGCTCGTGGTGGTTGAAACCTCTTTCTGAAGCGGCACCATGTTTGGTAGTTTCGGGCGCCCTGGCCCTCCAAGCCAATCGAAACGGTTGATGAGAAACAACCCCCTCTGAAACCGCCAATGCGGGGTTCAAGCCAGGGATGGGCACAAGGGTATCATTTTGCCACCTTTTGTGAGAAAATTGGCGACCCCCTCAAGAAGGACTCCTTCACTAGGGGTCGATGATTGTTCCACAGGCGGCAAAAAGACCAAGCCAGGGGTGGGCAAAAGCCGAGGTCTCATCAACCTCCTGCAGAGCGAGGGCTGGGTGTTGGACTCTGCGCCCACCCCCGCCTTTGGCGACGCCTCCAGCTGCCTGAAGCTGCTCAGCAAGCGCTGCCCAGAGGGCGCGGAGGTTTTGCGATTCGGTGGCGTCGCAGAGGTGCTGTTCTATGGTTGGTTTTGTGGGAGCGAAGCTACCAGGAGTGCTGTAACTACATAAGATATTGGGTTGAATCTTTGACCTTTAACCTTTTTGTGTGGACAAAAGAACATCCACCAAGCTAGTTGTTGCTCAACAAACTATTTCCATGTGCTTGAATTGCTGTAATTTTCCCTGCCAACCCGCAAAAGCAGAACATCTTGTTGCGCAGGGTCGGGCAAGAGTCATTTAAACAACGGGCAGCCAGCAAAGTTGACTTCCATTGCGGGTAGCACAACGGACTGCCTAGGTCCAGTTTCTGAAGGGGAACAAGGTTCAGCAGGGGTACATAAACCTGTATGCCCAGGACCACAAGCTTCTTGCATTTGTGCTGTGTTGTGACATTCCAGCCGGAAACATGTTCGGACTATTTGGGGCGAGCACACGCAGTGAGTCGTTGCTTTAAGAGCAGCGGAAAACCGATGAAGCTGCGTGGGAAACTAAAGGTCACCGAAGCACTGCACGGCTACATGTTGTTTTTGTCTGGTAAAATGATTAATTGCCGTTGTTGTTTTTCTTGTTTTTTGGGGGTGGAGGGGGGGCAAGATGGTGGTAATCCTTGTGGTTTTGCTTTTGGTTCCCTTTTTGAGCGACCACAAATCAATGTGGGTATCCGCACAAAGAAACACCCATAGCTCAAAAGAAGTGAGTTGGACGCAACCTTTGCAGGCAGTGGCGGAGTTCTTCGCCTCGTTTGTGGGATGAAGCCTGTTGCGCAAATCTCATTGCAACTCCTCTTTCCGTCGTATACTTAAACACAATTATTGCAAGCAGAAGCTTCGGAGTTTGCGAGATTAGGTTGCAGTTTGTCAACTTTACTATATGCTAATCAGAGGAATCCCTCTAGAAGAGATTAAGCACTAAAAGGTACGGAAGTACAGGGAAGCAAGCACACAATTCGAGGCAAAACACCGCACACGCCACACCGCCAGCACCACGTTGACCAAGTGCGTGCCCTCTCGCCCTCTCAGTTGGCTCGTGCACACGCCTTTCAAATGAGTACGCCCGATCGAGTGATTTTCGCTACCAACTGGGCACAGACAGCCGAAGCAAAAACATGCAAGGCAACGCATGACAGTCATTGCGCTGCCTTGAAGCAAAACCGTACATGTATTTCATGTTCAAGTACGGTCAATCTGGTTTCTGCGGCACTGCCTTGTCATGCATGCTCAGTTTTTTAGGCAATTGTGCATGCATAAAACCGCGAGTACGCCGACATGTGCTTCTGCCTCCTGCGTTTGCGTTTGGCCAAGCAGTTCGAACTTTCCCACAAACGGTGATGCGGCATGTGGGTAATGCTTGCCTTGTACCCATGATGTGTTTGGGCCTTGGGTAAAGCGAATCGACCTCTTGAGCTTTTTGTTTTCCGGTTTTGGTCCATTCGTTCCAGGTCTCTTGGGCAAGTGAGCAAGGGGTAGCTGCCTCGAGCCTGGCACGTCCGTGCTGTCGGAGTGGGCCAGGCCAAGAGGTGCTGATGCCCTTGTGCGGGAAGGTCGAGGGTGAGATGCCGCTTCTGCTCATGGTGATGATCGCCCCTCGGACACTTCTGCTCGGTGGGCAGAAAGCCAGGCGAGTCGGGGTTGTGCCAGGATTTCCTGGCTGGTTGAATTCCAAAGGTCCAGAGTTTGGTTGCAATTTGTGGCGGTTCCATATCAATCGCTCCAAGTCTTGCGTTTGGTTGTGTACTTCTTTGTGGCTGGGGCTGGAAATCCTTTGGTGCCATGGCGCCCAACAGGGCAATGTTTGGCGAATGTTGAGCCCTGATTAAATACCCCCCGCCCGTCCCCCAGACATTAGTCAAGGGGTACCCCTGGACGAAAAGATTCCCAAAAAGATCCTGAATAAAAGGTGCCCGGGGTACTGATCAGGGGTCAGCACGAAGTTCTATTTGGTCATTGCTCATCTTGCGAAGAAAGACGCCTTGCTTTTGCTAGCCCGAAATATCCTCGCGGCGCAACATCTGCCTTGGTTGACAGCATGCTATGCTCAGCCCTTGCAGTACGCCAAGTTTGCAACATGGATGGCAAGTCAGACAACTGGCTGAACACACTGGCTGAAAAGTGAGACCTAAGTGAGGTGCATGTGAATCATATAAATCATACATCACGCCCTGAGTTCCTGGACTGCCACTACTATTATTTTTGTGTTGGGGGCGGGGCAGATCACTTTAGTGGCAACTCGACCGTTTGAACTGCTGGTTTTGGGAAAATCCAGGAATCCTCTTGCAGGTGGCAACGAAATAAACTCTTCGGGAATCCTTCGCTTTTGCACATAGAAATACTCCGAGATTTGTTTGTCCATCAGGTTGGTTACATTCGGGGTTCGCATTATGCAACGCTGGTGGCAAAAAGGCCAGTCTCAGAATATGGGTCCCACCAAAACACGTGGTTTCCCTGGGAAGTTTTGGCCTTAAGCCCACCCAAGAAAAGGCACCCTCAACAAAAAAAACACGGCCAGAAGCGAGCGATCCGCTGGCTCAGGTCCCCTTGGGTCCTGATCGCCTGGGCGAGGACGCTCGGTGCCGGGGCAAATCGCTCGGTGGATCAGCGGCGCCCTCTTTGACTCAGTTGGTTCAGGGCCGGCCTTTGGACCCTTTTGGCTTGTGTTTTGCCATGGTCATTCCAGGAGGTCCTAACCCTCTCACTTGCCCAAAACCGACCTTTTCAGATTTGGTCCATCAGTCAGACTTCGAAAAGGTGAACCTATTTATGTCCAAGTCCTTTGGGCAGGCAAGTTTATGAATATTTTTTTTGTTGGATGGTTTCTCCCTAAACTGAAAAAAGAGGCCACCGTGTTTCTACCAGTGCCGCAAGCCAACTGCGTTAAAAAAAAGTGAACCTTTTTCAGGGAGTAGGAACACTTTCATTTGGTGCCGTCATGTGGGCAATGCGGCACGCCCTTCAGGGCAATTATCCTTATAAGAAAGCAGGTGTGTTCATCCAATGGACTTGGCCAATGCCTGGGTGAAACATCCCTAAGCATGACACCACCCTGCAAATCAACCAGGGTCTTGATTAATCCGGGGTTCTCAGTCTCGCAAACTTGTATGTAAGCCTAGTTCATGGCTTGAAAGAGGGGGTTGGCTGGGAACATTGAGAACATCTAAGTGGGGGGTTCTGATTCTGCGCTCTAACGGTTGCATTGACTTGCCAACGGGCAAAATAGCATGGATCATTTGAGAAATCGATCCAGGCCGAAAGTGATCATGTTTTGCACGATTTGATTCAGGAAGTACAGAGTACAGTTGACCTTTAACCGACCCAACCTCCAGATGTTCCAGAGCACGAACTAGAGCATTTTATTATCAATATCATTGAAATGCAACGTGTTGGAGACACGGGTGCATTGGCAGATGCGTTGGATGGCCAAGAGGGGCCCGTGCCCCTTTGCAGTTTCTCAGCACAGTTTGCTCGTGTCGTTTTGACTGTTTGTAGGGGTAATCGGAATGCTGCGCCTCAGAAGATTCGACGGCTGTCTAGCCTAAATAGTACACAGCACAAAAAAAAAACAATTAAATACATATATATATATATGTATATGTGTACGACTGCAAAGAAAAATCCAGGGTCTTTTGGGGTGGCTCGCACTTTATACCTGCTCATTCCAGGGGGTCCTATATCTCACGACTTGCCAAAATCCGACATTTTTACCTTATTTCACTGATTTGGTCCATCTGTAGCCAAGGGTTCCACAAGGTTAACCCTTGCATTTGCAGGTCCTTTGGGCAAGTGAGATATGGGTTCATGCGATTCAACCTCAGTTTGATAAGCCGTGAGCAAGCATTGATACCCAGAAGTAATCGCCGGAGAGGAACGCCAGGTAGATTGCACAGTTCCCTTCATGCGAGGGACTAAAGAGGAGGACTAGACCAGAATGGGCGATTCACCAGTTGTATGCCCGACGACATGTTTTGAGATGTTGGCGCCCTTTGCAGCAAGGTAGATTACCAGAAGCCCCCCTCCTGCTTTGGGGTTAACACCCGCAGATAGACGGGTATTGCTTCGGGGCGTTTTTATTACATACACATGGTAAACGAAAGGGACACCACCCAGTGTTGCAGGGGTTCCGTGACTTGAGGACCTATGAAAAACCCAAACCAGTAGAATGACATTGGGCACATTGAAGCCAATTTATGTCACGATCATAATGTGGAGTGGGCAATTATTTTGCCTTGGACCCCCCGCCTCATAAGGCAACCGCACGAATACATATATATATATATATATGTACATATATATATATATATATATTATATATGGATACCCTCCTATCCCCAAAAGTATTGACCGAACAACTCGCAGCGAGGATCTCACCCCGTTGGCAGGGGTCCAGTTGCTTCGGGCTCCGTCTGGGACAACATATGCCTGATTGAAAGACTCGCCATTCTCGTGGATGTAGTGTGTTGCTTGGTTGATGGGTTGCTGGGTTGCTGAGTTGCTGGGTTGCTGGATTGCTGAATTGCCGGGTTGCTAGGTTGCTTGGTTGCTTGGTTGCTTGGGTGCTTGGGTGCTTGGTTGCTTGGTTGCTTGGTTGGTGGGTTGCTTGGTTTCTGGGTTGCTGGGTGCTTGGTTGCTTGGTTGCTGGGTTGCTGGGTTGCTGGGTTGCTGGGTTGCTCGGTTGGTGTGTTGCTGGGTTGCTGGGTTGCTAGGTTGCTGGGTTGCTTGGTTGCTTGGTTGGCGGGTTGCTGGGTTGCTTGGTTGCTGGGTTGCTGGGTTGCTGGATTGCTGGATTGCCGGGTTGCTGGGTTGCTGGGTTGCTTGGGTGCTTGGGTGCTTGGTTGCTTGGTTGGCGGGTTGCTGGGTTGCTGGGTTGGGTTGCTGGGTTGCTTGGTTGGCGGGTTGCTGGGTTGCTGGGTTTGCTGGGTTGCTGGATTGCTGGGTTGCTGGGTTGCTGGGTTGCTGGGTTGCTGGGTTGCTGGGTTGCTTGGTTGCTTGGTTGCTTGGTTGCTTGGGTGCTTGGTTGCTTGGTTGGCGGGTTGCTGGGTTGCTGGGTTGCTAGATTGCTGGGTTGCTTGGTTGCTTGGTTGCTGGGTTGCTGGGTTGCTGGGTTGCTGGGTTGCTTGGGTGCTTGGGTGCTTGGTTGCTTGGTTGGCGGGTTGCTGGGTTGCTTGGTTGCTTGGGCGCTTGGGTGCTTGGTTGCTTGGTTGCTTGGTTGCTGGGCTGCTGAGTTGCTGGGTTGCTGGGTTGCTGGGTTGCTGGGTTGCTGGGTTGCTTGGTTGCTTGGTTGCTTGGGTGCTTGGTTGCTTGGGTGCTTGGGTGCTTGGTTGCTTGGTTGCTTGGTTGGTGGGTTGCTTGGTTTCTGGGTTGCTGGGTTGCTTGGTTGCTTGGTTGCTGGGTTGCTGGGTTGCTGGGTTGCTGGGTTGCTGGGTTGCTTGGGTGCTTGGGTGCTTGGTTGCTTGGTTGGCGGGTTGCTGGGTTGCTGGGTTGGGTTGCTGGGTTGCTGGGTTGCTGGGTTGCTGGGTTGCTCGGTTGGTGTGTTGCTGGGTTGCTGGGTTGCTAGATTGCTGGGTTGCTGGGTTGCTGGGTTGCTGGGTTGCTTGGTTGCTTGGGTTCTTTTGTTGCTTGGTTGCTGGGTTTGCTTGGTTGCTGGGTTGCTGGGTTGCTGGGTTGCTGGGTTGCTTGGTTGCTTGGTTGGCGGGTTGCTGGGTTGCTGGGTTGCTAGATTGCTGGGTTGCTGGGTTGCTCGGTTGGTGGGTTGCTGGGTTGCTGGGTTGCTAGATTGCTGGGTTGCTGGGTTGCTGGTTGCTGGGTTGCTGGGTTGTTGGGTTGCTGGGGTTCAGGGTTGCTTTTGTGCTTGGGTGCTTGGGTTGCTGGGTTGCTAGGTTGCTGGGTTGCTTGGTTGCTTGGTTGGCGGGTTGCTTGGTTGCTGGGTTGCTTGGTTGCTGGGTTGCTGGGTTGCTGGATTGCTGGATTGCCGGGTTGCTGGGTTGCTGGGTTGCTGGGTTGCTTGGGTGCTTGGGTGCTTGGTTGCTTGGTTGGCGGGTTGCTGGGTTGCTGGGTTGGGTTGCTGGGTTGCTTGGTTGGCGGGTTGCTGGGTTGCTGGGTTTGCTGGGTTGCTGGATTGCTGGGTTGCTGGGTTGCTGGGTTGCTGGGTTGCTGGGTTGCTGGGTTGCTGGGTTGCTGGGTTGCTTGGTTGCTTGGTTGCTTGGTTGCTGGGTTGCTGGGTTGCTGGGTTGCTGGGTTGCTGGGTTGCTAGATTGCTGGGTTGCTGGGTTGCTGGGTTGCTGGGTTGCTGGGTTGCTGGGTTGGGTTGCTGGGTTGCTGGGTTGCTCGGTTGCTGGGTTGCTGGGTTGCTGGGTTGCTGGGTTGCTGGGTTGCTGGGTTGCTGGGTTGCTTGGTTGCTTGGTTGCTTGGGTGCTTGGTTGCTTGGTTGGCGGGTTGCTGGGTTGCTGGGTTGCTGGGTTGCTGGGTTGCTGGGTTGCTCGGTTGGTGGGTTGCTGGGTTGCTGGGTTGCTAGATTGCTGGGTTGCTGGGTTGCTGGTTGCTGGGTTGCTGGGTTGTTGGGTTGCTGGGGTTCAGGGTTGCTTTTGTGCTTGGGTGCTTGGGTTGCTTGGTTGCTTGGTTGCTTGGTTGCTTGGGTGCTGGGTTGCTGGGTTGCTTGGTTGCTTGGGTTCTTGGTTGCTTGGTTGCTGGGTTGCTGGGTTTGCTTGGTTGCTGGGTTGCTGGGTTGCTGGGTTGCTGGGTTGCTGGGTTGCTTGGTTGCTTGGTTGCTTGGTTGGCGGGTTGCTGGGTTGCTAGATTGCTGGGTTGCTGGGTTTGCTGGGTTGCTGGATTGCTGGGTTGCTGGGTTGCTGGGTTGCTGGGTTGCTGGGTTGCTGGGTTGCTGGGTTGCTGGGTTGCTGGGTTGCTGGGTTGCTGGGTTGGCGGGTTGCTGGGTTGCTGGGTTGCTAGATTGCTGGGTTGCTGGGTTGCTGGGTTGCTGGGTTGCTCGGTTGGGTTGCTGGGTTGCTGGGTTGCTCGGTTGGTGGGTTGCTGGGTTGCTAGATTGCTGGGTTGCTGGGTTGCTGGTTGCTGGGTTGCTGGGTTGTTGGGTTGCTGGGGTTCTGGGTTGCTTTTGTGCTTGGGTGCTTGGGTGCTTGGGTGCTTGGGTGCTTGGTTGCTTGGTTGCTTGGTTGCTTGGTTGGTTGGCGAGTCGGCGGTCGGTTGGGCGGGTGGGTAAGCAGGGGGGGGTATAAGTGGGTGTGTGGTTGGATGTGGTTGGGTGTTTGGGAGTGGGTGGGTGGGTGGGTGAGCACATCCTGACGCCTCGGAACAAACAAACTCTTCGCTTCGCCAGGAGCTGAAGCGTTCCTTCGCGGCCTGGGACGCGGAGAACGAGCTAGGCATCGGGCAACCGGCGCTGCAGGACCTGCTGGCGGCGCTGTGCCCGCAGTTGGACGAGCCCAACCGCAAGCTGGCGTCGACGGCGGAATTTGGAATGCAGGGAAAGATGTAGCATGTTTTGTTTGGAGTAGGTACTGTACCAATGATTTTATTTGTTTAAAGGAAAACCAAAAGAGGGAAGGAAGAAACGGAAGACACTAATTTGGAAAGATTTGGCAGTGGGTCAAAATTAAACCACCAGGAATTGGACCGCAGATTTTAGTCCATGGTTCCATTTACCAGGGCAACCCATTTTGGGGTTACCCTATGTTTGACTTACAGCCATTTGGGCGTGTCTTTTCTTGGAGTTGGTACTCAATTGTTTTTTTTGTTTTTGCGGTTTTGAAGGGAAGCCAAAAGGAAAACACCTGTCCTGTTGTTTTCTTGGGGGGGTCTCCTAAGAAAGACACACCCATTTGAATGCGGAACCAGGGGTGATAAACATGAACTTCCTTCAAAATGGGTTCCTTTTGTTCACGCATCCAGTCCGTGGTAACATGATCATCAAAACGGTAGCATTTGGGCACCTTGTTTGGTTGTCACTCTTGTGACCAGACACCTCACCTTCTCACATGTTCCGGGGTTTCCTTTCCATTTGGGTCCAAGTGGCACAGGGACGGCAAAGAAGCCCTTGGCTGGGCCATTTCCATGTCGATTTGTTGCGATGGGTGCCCTTTGTGGGTTGTGCAAAGGGAAACTATGAGGCAACCAGGTTTAAAAAGTGTTTCTTTATAAAGCCAGTTTCTCGACTGGGGAGATGTACTGCAAGAAGTCTACTGCGAACTTGGCTATGTTAAATTGCGGGGTGTGCCATTCAACATGGACTCCTGGACTTTCTGCGGGGCAGCGTGCAACCCGTTGAGGAGGGTCCCATTTGGTGAGCCCGGCAGTTCGGATGCCACCCAAGCAAAGCTCCTTGTTGTTTGGTTGCTTCTCCGGCAGGATGGCCAACCCCCAAAAGTAGTTCCAATTCGTTTGTTACAGGGTCGTGGTCGTGGACAATTTGGTTTGGGGATAGAGGAGGGGAGGAGCGTTGTTCAGATGCTCTCATTTCCTTGGCTGCTCGCACATTTTGGATCAGGTTGTCAAAATGTGTGCCGTGTCTTCAACAAAATGAGCTTGTTGCCCAGTTTCCGAAAACTGCTACGTAAAATCCCGGACTCCCTGTTCATCCAGAATTTGTGATCCGTTGGGCAATTCCTGCCCCAGAAAGCTTTTGAGGACAGCCCTGAAAGCAAAGGTGCTTTAGCTCAACTACTCCCGTGCCGTTGCTCATGCTTCACCTGCGCTAAGTTTGTTCGCCTTTCTGAAGGGAACCCCTTTTGGATGCCTGTTGGGAAAGCAATGAGCAGGGAGGGGAAGCATAGATATGGAAGGATCCCCTGAAGCACTTGGGCATGGCAAAGCCCGCCCCCGAAAATGATTGGACACGGGATGTTTGAAGGCATAGATGGTTCCAAGGGAAGGGTCCCTGATCGTTTTGGCCCCCGAAATGTCACGTTGCCAAACAACGTGAACCAGAGGGTAGATAATTCCAACCAAATCCTCCTGCCACTTCTTCCTTTCGCTGGGATCCCTAAACCTCACTTCGCTCGCCAGGTGGTGCTGCAGGCGCTCACCACGCCAAAGGGTGAGGTGAGGAAGGCCATGCCGCACGAGGAGAGGCCATGACCTACGCGATGCGTTGCCAGTGGGCCAAGCAGACCGGTGGCACCCGTATGTTTCTCCCGAAATTTCAGGGGGGATTCCCCAAAATGGCAGGTGCCTCGTTTTGGCAATCAAAGTGTCCAGTTTGGAAGATACCAAGCCGCCTATATAGAAACCAAATCAGAATTTAGGGACCCCCGCCCATTTTTGGAAACACCCAGTTGAAGTTCAGTCATATCCAGGGTATGATCTTAGGGTGCCCACCGCACTTCCATGCACGGGTAGGGGTGAAAACCCACCCCGTTGATTCGTTGCCATGGTCTTTGGCTGCGACTCAAACTGTGGGGTTTCCAATTGAACCTTGAAAATATGTTGATGGTTGCTGGTTGGGAGGCCAATCCCACTCAGCTTGTTGAGGTTGAGTGATTCAGCGTTTTGCCTGCCAGGAGTTTGTGGAGAGACTCGGCAAGGTTATGCGCGCCAAGCACCAGCCCATAGCCTTCCAACGCAGACGGATGGCCCGGTCAGCAAACCTTTCAGCAAATGTCGCAAACTTTTGGTTTCCAAGCCGGATTGGAGCCTTTGGCGGTTGAAGGGCTACCCTCTTTCCAATCGAAGTGGGCAGTGGCTTTTGATTGACTGCCCTCTTACGACCCTTGGTCTACCAGCCAGGAATCTGCGAAAAAGTTTGATCCTTGCCTAAGGAAGATCCTGTCCTTTGGCGCCGTGGGTGAGCGCGCTGCATCGCCCGGAAGCCCTTGGGCAATTTCGCCTGGATGATCCGTTGGATCCTCGTCCCGGCACCTTGCCCGTTTGATGTCAACGTTTGAAACCAGCATTGCCCAGTGCCCGGATTCCAGTTCTTTGGAGGCGCTTCCCGTCAAACCTCCACTACCCAGAAGCCAGAGCCACTATGTGCCAATTCCTAAGGCCATTTCATGGCGGCCTACTTGGAGGTTGGTTGTTGGGTGTTGTCCATGTTCAGTCGATGCAACACACAAAGTGCTTCCCAACCTTGGCGCAAAGTAGCTTATGCGATTGATTTTCCCGCAATGAAAAACCAAAAAGGAATATGTTGTGTTCCAGACCCCCTGTTTAACACCCAGGCTTCATTGTTTACCAACAGAAAGTTGCGCCTGCGTCTCACCGGAGCCAGCGCTGCCTCGAAATTCGCGGGGCGGCACGCACAGCTGGGCCAATGTTTCGGTGCAAAGGATGCGGCGAGTTGCAGGGTGCCTTATTTGTTCTATTTGCGTTTCATATATAACGCTTTTGTTATTTCCCCCCGTTGGTTTTGAAGGGAATCGTCACTACTGGAACTAGTTGTATAGTTGTTCCAAGGGATGAAGAAGCAAATGGAGGTATTTGGTCACCAAATGGGGCATGTACTGGTACTCTCGGTGGCACAAGGGGCTAAAAAGGGGCGATGTTTGGACCGACACCCCATTTGCTCCCGGCTTTTAGGGAGCAAACCAGAAGGACATGCACGGCCATTTGTGCAAAGGGTAGGAGGACATTGGAGGCTTTCAAGTACCAGCCAGTCTCCGGACTGGTGACTCTATCTGCTTGTTTTCCCCGGCTCCGTTCCCGATTAGGTCGGGTTGACGTCACATTCTAGGCACCCCTCAGCAACTTGTACGCTCTGGAGGGGGGTGTCTTTGAAATGGCTGCATAAGCTCTGTCGTTTGCACGCAGCTTGCTGGGCCTAGGTTGGAGTCTCAGCATGGTTATCGCATGGGTCCTCAAATAGAGCCCAAAATGGCATGGGTTGACTTTTTGGGAAACCAGTTTTCCATCTTCCCAAAAAAAAGCAAACAAAGAAAACTGAAAAGTAGATCTCGAAAAGTAGATCTGTTGTTCCCTAAAAAGACACACCCATATGTGGATAATTCTTGTTTTGTTGTTTTGTTCAATCCTGATAATATGGTCATTGGCCGGTGCCGCCAAAATCAAAAGAGAACACTCTTTCGTCCATTTATCCCTGAATTGTCCTCCGGCAGCTTTTTTTTGGACCATGATCTGAAGTGTTATGTCTGTGTACCGCAGATTTTGTCCAAACTATGCTTGTTTTTTTCAACCCTTCAAAGATCCCAAGCCTAGCTTCGACTTTGCTCGGGCCATCAACCTCCTTCGCCAGGCTCGCAGCGGAGCTTCGGCGACTAGATGCCAAGCCCTTGGCCCGTTGAGCTGCAGCGGCCGTTCAAGCAATTGAACTGGGACTGTGGGACCTAAGGCCTCTGGGGTCGACAAGGTCATGCTGGCCATGGGGCTGGGGCTTGGTAACACTGCGACCCATTTCTGGAACCCAAGGCACCGCCCGTTTCAGACGAGCCTCCTTTGGGGGGGCCTCCCTTTTTGGGTTCCACGTTTGGTTTTGCAGGGGAGTAACCAAAAGTGTGTTTAAAAAGGACAACTACATGAACTATCCATTTTGGAGTCTCCCAGTTTACGGGTGAGGATCCTGCATTTCTGGGGCCATACTTAGTCCAATGACCCACGACTTGTCAGATGCGATACTCCCGTGGCAAAGGCCAACGCGAAAGATGAGAACCTCATCCGGCGGGAGTATCTCGGTTTGGGCGCGGCCCCTAGCTGCAGAAGCTGGTGCCGGAATCCTCCTGCATTTTTTGGGCGAGCTCACCTGGGGGTAAATGAGCTCACCATGGGAAAGATCCTTGACTTGGGGATCCAATTCTTATTGCAGGTTTTGGAAATATTGTAAATTTTGCCGGAATCCTTGGCTTCTGGCAGTTGACCATGACATTCAAACAGAAATGCAGCCTTACAGAATATATTTGGACTTGTTCGACCCCGAACTCACGGGGTGAAACCAGCCCATGATCAAGATCCCTCACTCGGGCGTTTCCTGTGTCCGCTTTGTGAACTATAGTATTTCTGCCCAGATACATCCATCTGCTTTTGAAGCGGATCTTCTCAAGACCTTGCGAAGAATGCATCGTTTAAGATATCCTGATAAGCAGGAAAGGTTGCGGGAAAATTGCTGTTTTGAACATCCTATGATACTGAAGCACTTCCCTTTTAAGCTTTATCAATTATTCCAAGAAGGGTGATTTCTGACAAGCATGGAGGCTCCCACTACCTTGCAGATCAAAAGCTAGTGATTGTTTTGCACCAGCAATTCCTGTGAAGGCAAGCCCGCGGCGGACTGGAGCCCAAATTGACGTTGTTCTTTGCTGAACGTCGCCTTAGGCTTGCCGCGGGCTGCTTTCAGCAAGACCCCATCTCTTCAGGAGTTGCCGCTGGCGTCGCCAGTTGAAGGCACACCTGTTTGGTTACAAGCAGTGGGACTTGCCTGTATCCTTGATGAATTCTCAATTTCAACAGGCATTAGGGGGGGCAAACTTCGTCAATCCCTACATCTCTGTTTAGGGAAGCCAAAGAAGCCCCCTTTCTGAAAAGGCTTCCCATGTTATGAAGGAGCTCAAACGGAGATGGGCAGTTGGTGAACTGAAGCTAGTAGCATCTATCTTGAAGTTACCCTCAGGCAGACACACCTATACGCATCGGTTCAATAGCCTGTTCCAGGTGTTTCGAAGGTCCCGCGGCCTACTCTGTGCGTGGTGCTGAGATTTTGGAAAAGGAATCAAGAGCGGTCCACCTATTGTGAACCTCTTTGTGGTGAGGATGAACGCGGGGGTGTGTTTCCCAAGCAGAGCAGGCTCCCTAAAACGAAGCGGCCCTCAATGAATCAACTGGGGTTTGACTATTCCTGAGTCCGCATTGGCGGGGGGCAAACTTTTCTGTATTTCCTCTCCCTTTCTCTTTTCAGGGTGGGAATAGAATTGGAAAGCCTTTTCTGAATTGGTTTTCCATTTACTCATCCCTACCCGACATTATGAAGCTTCCCTTCACAGGAACCCGTCTTTCGGGTGAACGACTTACTACACCTCACCCGCTTGTTTCAGCAATCCCCTCTCCCCGAAAATGGTGGTGTTCAGTCTGGCTTCCCTTCTAAATCCACAAACAACCAGGCAACTATCCGCAAAGAAAAATCAATGCCTAAGTGTAAGAAACGTTCGAAAGCCGGGGGCTTTCCTTTCTAGGTTGCCCAGTAGTGCCCTTTTACCATTTCCTTTTCGGGGGAGGGTTCCCCCTACTAAAATAGACGGAAAAGAAATCGGGCACCCTTATTCTAACCTCTCTACTGGAGGACCTAGTTTCCTTTGCAGGAGATGTGCAAACAGCTCCGACACGTGGCGCTGTGGCGAGAGTTGCCCACCCACGAGCTGCGGAAGGAGTGCCAGGCGACGCAGCACCTGAGCTTCAGTCCCCCGGTTGCTTGGGGCTTTCGGCCGTGTTGGGGAATTCCCATTCCCTTTGAACCCGAAATCCGTGGGGAAAGCTCGATCCCCGTGGCTGTGGCTCTTAAAAAGAAGGAAGCAAGAAGGGACTGTACAACCCTTGGTCTTGGTGACCGTGGCCAAAACGCTGGTTGTAGCAGCACTCCACTAGAAATGAACAGGCGACGCAGCTTCAGTCCTGAGCCCCCGGTTTCTTGGGGCTTTCGGTGCCGTTTTGGGGAATGCCCATCCTCTTGAAAATGGAATTGGGGGAGGCCCTAGAGATGTCCATTTGTGGCGCCCCATCTTGTGGGGAAGAGACTGGAGAAATAGAACGACACCCCATCCCTCACCGTTGAGGTGAGGGGGAGTCTTTGGGGACCTCTGTCGAATTGATGTTCGATTTTAGAGGGGAAACCACATATGAAGGAGAATCTGAAAGTCGTGTATTTTTGGTGCCCAGAGTAAGGACAAGGATTCACAATCCAATCTAAGCCTCTTGGTTATAGATCACCAAGTATGGAGTGGAATCAAACACTTCTTTGTTGAGGATTCAACGCATCCAGGGCGTTTTTGTGGAATACATTAGCAACCCTTGGCTTAAGTCTTTTAAATGCCAGGGGAAGCTTCTGATGAAGGGACCCCTTCATGGCGTTTCAACACTTTGCGAAGTTCCGGCCGCCGCCCAGTTTTGAGCTTGACCTGTTTTCCGTTGATGTGCTTGTCGAGCTTTTCAATGGCAGTCCATTGGAATGATTGCTCCATTGGCTGTTGAAGTCAGGTTGCCGGAGCTGATGCTGGTCATCACTCTATGAGTCCCACCATGTTCTTTGTAATTTTGTCATGCCATTCACGCCTGCTTGTGTTAGTGCATCTCAAATTGTAATCCACCAGGAGTTCCTGGACTTTAATTTAAGCGTTGTGGGAAGACCTTTGTGGTGGTGAGCATACCCTAGTCACATGAAGGTCCCTTTTGTGAGGGGTCCAGGGGCTGAAAAGGATTGAAAAGGCATGTTGCAGAATTCTTGAACCTTTGGGGTATGTGGGGTTCTGGGCCGTATGGGCCCGATTGAAGTGATAACGTGGCCGTGTGATGGAAAACCACTGGCATGCTTGACCCGCCTGCCAGGATCAGGGCATCTCTGCAGGTGGCTTGACCAGCTGCGGCCTCAGCGCCATATGCGCAATGGTCGGAACAAACACCTCTGCATGGGCCTGGGATGCTGGGGGACCATGTTTAACAACTAATGTAAAGGTCCGGTTTTTAATGGAACAATGTTATACTCTCCCACCCACATGGAACCCACCGAAGCGTCCCTTTTCTCCCAGCACTCAGGAACCCTCCAGTCAGATTAGTCAGATTGATGTGACGTGGGAGGATATCTCAAGGCTTAGCTCCCTATGGATTTCAATTCAAAGCTTAGCTCCACTTGTAGGTTCTTACCCGTGCAGTGGTTAGAACATCCAAGAGGCTGATGGCCATCAACCAGAGACTACCCGAGCTTCACCCAGCGATTTAGTTTCCGGATTCATCCATTGAAACTGTCCAACCCTGGGAAGAACTTGAGGTTGGGGG